TGCCAAATTTACAGCAACAAATAGAGCAGAATTATGTTGCTAGATTATAACAATGGTTCAAGTGTTATTAAAATGTCACAAATTAATAAGTACGGTTTGAAAGTTAAGTTCAGAAGGAAACAATATAATCTGTTAACCAAAAGACAGGGAATTTCGGGTATAATTTATAAAACCTAACGATGGTTATCTTCTGGGTTCTTGCGCCGTGCAGCGTGGTAGAAGTTTACCAACGTTTAAGAGGTCCTTGCTACCTTCAACAACAGGCGATGCTAGATAAAGTTAAAATTTTTGGGGCAATTTATTCTCATAAAATTTTATACAGAGGTCCTCATCATGGTCGTTGCCCCTCTGGTGTAACTCATGGTGCAAATATCATACAATTACTCAGGGTCAATGGCTTTTCGTCATTAATAATGCCATCAAAAGTAACAAAGTTGTTAATCTACCTACACGAGTCAGGATTGTTAGTGAAAAGTTAACAGTCAATCCGCTGGTCAACAAATTCCCTGCTTGTATGAAGCCAGTATTGTCATTATTGTGTACACAATATCGTATCACTGCACTGGACTACATCCTGAGTTCATTTAACAGCCTACAGTCTAGTCTTGCAGTCAATTTTGAGATTCATGTTAATATCCTCCCATCTATGCCTTTGTCTCCCAAATCATTTTCCTAAAGATTCTTCAAATCAGTACTGCTTACACTTCTCATGCAAGCTTTATGAGTTGTCCATATAACCTCCCTTAACTTAATCCCCTAACATTATTTGAAGGTTGCTAATTATAAAGATTTCTCATCATGTACATTTCTTCTACCTTCCTCCCTATCACCCTAGTCCACATAAATCTCATCACATTGTTTTTATACACCCTGATTAAATGTTCTTCCTTCGAAGTAAGAAACCAAGTTTTACACCCATATAAATAACAAATCTATATAATTAAATTATTTTAATCATAGTATTAAAAGAAATATTACATCTGGCATATAATTACAATGAGATCTACTCAAAATATGGAACAGGGTTGACTTGTTGGAATATTTGATGAACAACACAATCAAACAAAATGTAAAAGAGCTATGTACAACATACTTCAGGAGAATGAATATACTGTCACTGTTTTTAATTCATCAACTCTGAGAAAAGTTTGTGTGTAAAATATGTTGCTACAACTTCACAAATATGTAAAGTCATAATAATCAAATGTTAGCAGTTTCACAAAGAAAGTACACTGTAACACTAAAACCACAAAACTATCTTTCTATTGCATAAGTCCACCTTTAGAGGAAAATTTATTCAACCAATGTACTTACATATCCTGATTCTAGTCTGTCTATCATAATTCGCTAAGTCTTGCAGGTACAATGATTTGTAAAGTTTGCATTAAAAGCAAAACGTAAGTTGGACTCAAATTCAGCAGTTGAATTAACCGTAAAGTTTGGTTTATGAATGTCACTTCAAAAAGAACCATCAGATACCAATACGCAAAGTTGATTTCTTACAATGAACTTGAGCTCAAGATCTACATTCTGATCATGATTGATCATACATAACTCATACATTGCAGTGTTACTGACTGAATGCCTTGTGATGTGCCACGCATGTGTAATTTACATGTTCCTGCATCAGAAACAAATTATATTTCTAGTGAGAATATCTCTGCAATTTTTGAATACAGAAAAATTTGTCTAAAATGGAATATGCCTTTCTTAGAACACTTCTCTAGTACTGATATATGTGAAAAACTGAAATAAAAAAAATTTCGTCTTATAGATGGAAACTGTTTAGCGCAGTAATGGAAAAGCAAGGCTTTAACAGAAAACAATCCGCTGTAATCATTACCTGTTCAAATAATTTTGTCCCAGACTGAGAAGGAACAAGGTAAAGGCAAAGTTGTCCCTTGTGCTTAACTACAACATATTCTCCCAATACATGAATGGTATTATAAAACAGCCCTTTCAGCGCTGATGACCATGCTGTGGTGTAACCCCAGTGTATGTATCAGCAAGGACACTGATGAAAAAGATAAATTAAATAATAAAACAAAACTGTAATGGAGCAAAATCTACTGCCCAACACAGAAATTAAACCAAAAGGAAAGCAACACGTGGCAAGACCAAGAACACGGTAGATGTACGTGTAGAAGAGAGACAAAGCATGGGCAGAAGTGACGGACCAAACACTACAGCAGGAAAAAAATGTTTCATCTTGCCAGAGGACATAGGAGAGGAAGTATAAACTGACACAGGAATATTAAATACAAATTACTCAATCACTTGTGAACATTCATGGCATGATATAGATGAACTGTTATAACCGTAATATAACAAGGTATTTTCTAGTCTCAGAACATTTTACAGTAACATTATTTGATAGCAATGATTTCCAGAATTTGATGCATATTAATCACACATCCAACCTCCAATAATCTGCATTGCATTTCCATTCTAAAAACAGTGTCTGCAACTTCTAGTGGATAGTGTCCATGGCCCACTTTATATTTCTAAAATATTTTATTCTAGGACGCAGTCTGTTTGACCAATCAGAAAAGATCGCTTCTCAGGGGCTTGGTAAGAGGTTCAGTGAATGTGGTAGGTAGTGAAAAATAGGCAATAAATACATACAATTCAATGTACATAATTCATTATATACAAATAAATATCACACTTTCTTTGTTTAAACACAATAGGTTCAGGAAAATAAGGTGGGGAAGACCCACTGAGAAGCTTTGGTCTCCTTCTTTTAGATCTATATTGTCAAAGATCCATCTATGTCAAGTGCAGAAAAATGCCACCACCTATGACCAATCCTAGCATTATTACGAGTACCAAGTATTGCAACCGTAATGGATGTTCAGATAACACATTTACTCAGCAAGAATGATAATTACACAAATAACATATCCGTGGTGCATGTTCAATCGCTGCGACCTTACTGAGTGACTAGGTCCCACTTAAGACAGTAAGATCAAATTTATGTAATTTTCACATGAGATTTAGTAAACATAGATGTTATTAGCTTAACCCACCACCTTACAAGATTGTCTCACAGCCTTGCCAACACTGGACTTACAATTTGTTTCCTTGATTCTCTAAAGAAAAAAAAAATGTCAAGCTTTACAATACCGCAGAAAGTTACTGTCAAAAATATAACTGCTAACAGATCATAAACCAGTGACAATAACATTTCTCAGGATTTTTCTCCTCAAAACAGACAAAGTTCAATAGATTTGTTTTTGACGTTCCCGTCAACATTTCACTTTAACTCCCAATATCATACTGAACTTGTATCCATTTATTATAGACAAGTCGAAACAACGCATAATACAAAAAATAAAATATCAATATAAATTACCACCACACTTTAAATTTACAGCTCATGCATTGGCAATACTGTGTAAACCATCAAAAAGTGTATGTGACTTGGTGTTTTTATAGTAGCACAAGTTAGGTTGAGGTCTTCTGGATTGTCACACCATGTAGTCTTGAACAGCGCACTAACATTACAGAGGAATCAACTGCCTAGATCCTCAGAGAATAACAATGCAAAAGAACATGCCTCCTCTACCTTCAGAATAACCTGGTGCCTTCACATGCAGGACATAAGAGTTCTACCATGTACATGGAAGCAGGAGGCTCCGCCAAACCATTAGCAACAACATACAAGGCTACACATCGTCACAATCCCAGAAGACCGCAATCTACCGAAAAACCTACTGAGAGCATTTACCATCAAATATCTCGTAACAAGATATAAAACTACAAGTGAAAAGCACTGGGAGAACATTTTAATGATGTTCAACATCACACAGCATAACATTCACTGGCTTAATATACCTTTTTCCCTGCCATTTCCATCAGCTTTTCTATTTATCTGAAGAGCAGATACAACTTATGTTTGACATGTAGTATGAGATCAGATTTTATTCAATCTTGCTTCTTGCTGAGTCATACATGTTATATGAGCCATGTCGATAACCACTCAATTGTCTGACATCTCTCAAACATCAGGCACTCTGCAACCAAATAAAATCTGCATAAACATATATCATAATACAAGCCATCTGCGACTCAAAGTTGAGTAAATTCTCCATCCAGACAATACATCACTGTAATATTGTGAACAGCTACTTCCTGTTTTTATCGCTAGAGTCCGTATGGTAAGGGATTGCTTGGTCCATTTAAAACCATTTTATTTAATGATGCTGTCAGCAGCTCAGGCCATGCAGTGTTGAACGACGGTCATTAATGAGTAATAAACAGGAAAGGCTGTGGAAGGAAGTGGTCGCGACCTAATTTTAGGTAACATCCCAGCAGCTGAAGTCCAACTGGCAACAGAGGATTTAAATCATGTATAGTTGTATGATAAAGGTTAAAAAATAATTGTATTTTTTGTTAACAGTACATCAGGTACTCAGAGCTGGTGTCTCCCGAACAGACTTGAAGAGTTCTAGCCACAGCAGATGACGTGTACAAATATCAGATATGGCTCAGCTTGGAAGGTGGACACCAGAAACACATTTAACATACCTGTGGTAGGACGAAGGAACTCAGTTACCATCACCTGACAGAAACTCTCTTTCAAGCGCAGCACCCATCATGTTCCAGTCGCCATCATCAATCTCATCTGCGGGCTCATCACTACCACAACTATCATCATCTCCAAACTCAAGGTCACTCGGTAGCACCTCCCCACGACGAAACTTTGTACTGGGCATGTCGTCTTCCTCGTCATCCTCCTCGTTGTCGGATTCAGAGCCTGTCCCAGATGTCGGTCGCTTGCGCTTTGTTGGGCCTGACTCTCCCCATCCATGTGGATGTTCCCCTATTGAATCATGTTCCTTCATGAGATTTGAGGTTTTCTTGGCAGTGAAAATTTAGATTGTGGTGTTATGGGTGTGAACACCCTAAAGTCTTGTGAGTCATTACTAATATCTAGAAGGAATACACTGCCTACATCTACAGGGTACAGGGGCAACATGTTCCTCTGAAACATCAGTAACCACAGTAACATATCCAAAAGACAGTATATTAGACGAGTGAGCTCTCTACCCAGCATGTACAAAATGTAAGTAACAAAAGAGAACAATTTATGATCCATCTGTCGTTTACAATGCTCACAGAAAACTATAAAACAACAAAGAAAATGCACAAGTAAAAGCATAATCACCAGGGAAACAGACATTCATAATTTCGTGGCAAAGAGCTCAGAAGTTAATACCGCATCTGAACATTACAATGTTAAATTCTCAGCATTACTTTTCACGTGCGTCAGATTCTCACCTGACAAAGTATCAGCAGAACTACTACTGGACTCATCAGCTGATTCTTGCACATTCCAGACTTGAATTTTCTGCACTTCATCCAGCTGAGCCACCGTCTTGTCCGGTTCTCCTTCGCTCTCTGACTCGTTGAAGATGTCTTCCACTTCTCGATCCATGTTGGCAATATCTTCAGAGGAGAAAGACATCAGAGGGTTGATGGTGTCCATGAACCTTCCACTGGGTGTGCGTCGTCTGACACCTGGCTGCTGGTGCGTGGGGATGTGCTCAGGACTGCCACAGTGAGGGGGCGGGTGTCTGTTTGCAGCTCCGCCTCGCAATAAAGGGAAAAGTCTGCAATATTCAGGTCAGAAATGAACTATGTGAGTCTATGTGGAGTACTAAACAGTATCCTGGATCAAACAAAAGGAACATTGCACCACAACAGAAAATAATAAACAACAAAACAGAGCTCTTCTTAAGTTAACAGAATTAATACTTCCTTACTTACAAAGATCCTTGTTTGAGTTTATTTTTAAGATTTTTGAGATACTATCAGAGATCATTTTTCCATTCTACTTGGATACACAAAACTGCATAAAACTGATATTTGTGAAAGTGCATAATTTTTATTTGATTTGACCAAAACAGATATAATCTGCCGCATGTCATATGGACCACAATTCAACTAGCATTAAATTCTCTCATCAGACTCCTTTATAAGATGTGTGCTGATGAAAACAATGACAGTACAGGAAGTGTTTTATAAATGTGGTTTCCTGTTACATTCTGAGAACGCATTTTGCTACATTCACTTTTTTTTTGCATTTTTTACGGATTATCAGGGGTTTCAATTATCGAGGAAAATATATTTCCAAACCAACCCAGATAATCAAGAGTCTACTTATTTCTTATTGTTGTAAATGGATTATTTCAAATATTACCTTTTTCCAGTAATTTGTGAATAAAATTTTTACTTTTGATCCTTTTATTTTCCCTATACCAAATGTACAATTTCTATTAAAAAAACAAAAACAAAATGTTCACTATATATTCAGTTCTTTACTCATTCATTCATTTCTAGAGGGCAACGACATCCATTTTTGGGTCAGATCAATCTGAATGCAATTCACAAAAATATAAGGTAACTCACCGTTCATCAACTTTCTCCCACCGTTCCCCACAACACCACAACCAATCAGGTGTAACAATAATGGCATTACGCGCCACTCGACGAGCAGAGTTCACTTTCGCAGTCCCAGGCCTAACTGCAACCAAATGCGTAGTTTCTGGCGTCAAGTCTTGCATCACAAGAGCTCCCATCGATCGAGCCACGAGGTACGCCCTGCTCTTCTCAAGAGGAGTGTGCGTGGGAACGAGCCCACTAAACACAAGGCTGGTGCCTGATAGCACCTTACGTCGGACATATGGGATCACTGACTTGAGGTCTGGCACATCACCATTCAGCTCGTCGTAGAGATCGTAAAAGGCTTTATGCACGGTCTTCAGAATCTCTTCCAGGTACATGAGGTAATCATCTCCATCTTCCACTTCTACCAAATCATCATCCCCTCCCCCCTTACCATCCCCACCACTCGCATCTGTCACCACTACACCGTTACCTTCCCCACAATTTTGAGCCTTCACCCCACTCTCCACAACCTGTTCATACTTCTCTGTCTCTTCTGAACCTATTTTTGCAACAACACCAACTTCTTTGGTTTCACCTGCATCTTCGAGTGATGTAGGTTTGGTCTGAGAAGCATCCCCTTCATCTGACAACTCCAGACCACATGTCAAGTCACTTGAAACCACTGTGTCCCCCTCCTGACTATTAACAGCTACTTCACTGTCCCTACTTACATCGTCCTTTAACAAATCCCTCACGAACCTTGTCTCCTGCTCAGCGTCTCCACAGTTCTTCGTCTCTTTCTCCCCCTTCTTTGAGTCACTTTCTGTACTGGACTTAAACATATCTGTCTTCTTCTTGACACAACTGTTCGAGCTATCTCCAGACCCCAATCGACTGTCTTCACTTAGTTCCCCCTCCTCCCTTTCACTTTCACCACCGTGTGTTCGACACTTCCCATCGTATGCCTTTAGTTCACCATTTTCCTTTACCTCACTTTGTACTGAATTCTGCTCAATAGAGTCTGCAAATGTAACAAGATTTCATGAGCAACACAGCTTAAAATTTAAAAAATACAACAGCTAAGTATTTAATTATTAAAATTACTATAGTGGAATTCTCATTCAAACGACCAACTTCCACTTAATTGCCAGATTATGATGCTATCTGCACTTTATACACTATGTTTTAGTATTAATGTAGAGGCAAGAGACTTTTAAGTCTATTACAAACTTCGTGATAAAGAGATATCAATTCTTAAAATTTAAGGTTCCCTACAATTATGTCTGATGTGTTACCCAGCCCCCCTCCAAGAATCCCTAGAAACTATGCAATGTAAAACCCGGTACCGTAATTCGCTTTGACTTAATAAAAAAATAACAGTTCAATAGCCTGTCTCCACCACCCATCAATTGATTATAAACAGTACAAATTATTACGCTTGCACATCTTTCAACTCATATACTGCATTATCTGCAGTTTTATTTCAGTATCACGAGGAATATAAATATTCTAACCGTGGCCATGGTAGAAGCAGCAGGGAAGGCTGAGTGATTTGCGTGCACAATTTCACTGGCCTGCCCCATCATTTTGAACTCCAGGAACTACAAATTAAGGCTCTCATGGTGTATCACTAAAAAATCCATGAGAATGTTATACATTCCCAATTTAACTCACTTTATCAGTCACCTGTATCGTGCTTGTGGGACTGTAGCGTTCATCTACTGATCTACAGTTACTATTGTCCGTGAGCCACGAGAATAGACCCGACATCTTTGAGGGAGCTGGGGGTAGAATTCTGTGCTACTAGCGGATCGAAAAACACTCGCATCTTATACAGGCCGTACGTCTCTGTGCTACTAGCGGATCGAAAAACACCTGCAGCTTATACAGGCCATACGTTGTGAGTTGATGTACTGACTGACTGATAGCATGATGTTCTTAGGTAAGGAATACATCACCAGCGCATGCGCAGAACCCACTTTCCCCCTGCCACACAAGCAACAGCTGACAAGACCACGTCTTCTCTCGTGGCTCGCAGAAAATACCTATCATAAGGTCCCAATCGGGAGATTACTGCAGTTTATTAAAGGTACAGAGTTACTGATGAAATAAATGGCAGGGACTTAGCAGACCTTCATTGGTCACGGTACAAGAACAGTGTCACGCCCACAACCTGTTGTTATACTCTATTCTAGTCACATGACCAAGACATTCTCTGCTGTCACAGACGAAATATCATCTGGACTGTATCACACTGGAGGAAGAAATCTTCAGCAGAATACAAAGGAGAACTGGTCACCTGATATTTTGGTGAAGTCAAACCCTTCCTTTTCATCATTCTCGCACTTGGCGAGACCAGGCGGAGCATTGATATCACCAGTATGCTGGAAGAAATGGTATGGCTTCACATGGACCAGGTTGGGAGCAAAGTTCCACACATCTTCTCTGTCATCGATGATACACACCAAATTATCCCCACAGGGGAAAAGGGCCCTGTCAAGAGCAGAGAAGAAACACTTAGACCCTGCACTGAATCTCTCTGAAGTTGAACGCAAAGCAAAGTTAAGAGCAAATAAAAATAACCTTTTGACAATATGCTAAAACAAAGATATATCTGTGAATTTCCTATCATTGTTGCCTTTCACGAGCACTTACTGCGGACACGCACCTACCACAGCATGTTCTGTGTAACTTACAATGCCTATGAAGACTGTGAAGTACAACAAATTACTTAATTTAAAATCACACCATGTAACAGAACACTGCCTGTCATTCTACTATTAGAGACACTGATTTCACTACTGTGTTCTACAAGTGGTTACATTTACATACGTAAGATTAGCAGTCTTCGAGTTTGAGTTGAAACATTCGTCTCGAGAGAGGATACGATGAGAGAAGAACTTGCCATCCGGATCTAGGAACATAGCAATCATGTGCGCGTAGTTACGAGCCCCAAACGTGCAGATATGGAGCTCATAATACTGGCTAATCTGGCTTAAGAAGTGCTGTGTGCCCGGCCGTAGCCGAGTGTGGTACCATGGAGATCCTGTACCATAGAGTTGGAAGTGATACACATCCTGCCAACATAACACAAGAAGCACTTAAAAACTGAGACTCATATCAGCAACATACTGTAAACTATCAAAACAAACAGGAGAGAATGTGGAAGATGTGTTTGTGCACAATTAGATCTGCACGAACAATCTTAACCACAACGTAAACCATTACCTTACCTTCAAGTTTGCTGGTATGTTGTCATTTGTTGTATGGATCAATGTTTGGTCAAGATCCACCAACAGCACAAGTTTCCTGTCTCTGAGTAAGCGTTCTTCATCTGCCTTCCCCAGAATCTGAGCTTGCTAAGTTAACAAAAAAAAAAAATACATATTAACTATGAAATTCAGCCACAATGAAACTTACTGGAAACCATTATTTTACATAAAACTTCTTGTATAGCTGATTTTCTCTGATAATGGTTTCACTAATTTAAATGCATATCAGGGAAAATGCACTGTGGTGTCCAACATTAGCTTTGGTATTCATTTTAAACTGAAAGCGCAAATGTGTGTACAAAGATACTATCCATTCCTCATAGCGCCATAACAATCCGGCGTCCGAGTACCCATGTTACCGTCAACATCTGAAACGTCAACAATAAGCTGGAGGGGTAGGGAAATATGATGAATAGTACAGAGGAGGAAGATGAGGGTAAGATGCAGGAAAATAAGAATCATGGAAAGGAAAGGAAAAATATGATGTCATATGCCTTTTATATCACATTTATAATATAACAGATTATCAGTGATTACTCTGTGGGCTCTTAAAAATGAATAACACATTTATTCTATTTACTTTTACAATAAATTATTTTTTTGTACCATTCCAGTTGTTTATTGGATGGTTTTGCCAGAATAGACTATTGCATGCTCGTCCAATGATGCAAAATCATGAGATTAGTAACTGACAGGCACTGTGGCTTTCTCCACAGAGCAGAAATCAGGGCCAGAACATATCAACGACTACAGTGGCCACATAAAGCCAGAACCAAGGCAAAGAAATGGTAGAGGAGAATTATTCTATCTCCTATACATATGTGAGGCAGTGCTAAGGGTTACCTCCTTGCTGACTTTCAGTTCTGGAATGCTGTGGACCATCGGGATAGATGCATTCCGCAGAGTATGGTCCTCTTTCCGAAGATCGGCACCACACTCGGCACACATGTCCTTCATCACTGTTGGATGTGTGCATTCTTCTAGCTGCAGGAGGACATCTCTGTGTAAACACAACGCATATATAATAAATAGTCATTGTAATTCTTAAAATATGTAAACTGCATGGCTAATTTTAAATCTTCCTCATTTATTGTAACATTTGTAAATGTTTTAACCAATTTTAATTCAATTTTGTGTGTCTCAACAATTATATTGGGGTATTTCCTAAAACAAATTTCTGATGTCATAGGTTATGTGATAGGGCCTTATTTTCAGTCAAAGTTACTCCACTTCTGAATCTCATTGAAGCTTTTACATCATAAAATAATAACGGTATTGTTAATTAAATCATAATTTATTGATTCGGACGGCTGTCTTCACATTTTCCTTCAGATAAGAAACAACTACCATTACAATGGTAAGCCACTACAAACATAAAAAACTGATAATCCTTGAGTGACGTAATGCGCACATAACCAACGCATCTCTGCTACGTACCCTGGATGCACAATTTCACCTTCCTTGGCAAGCAGCTTGCGCACTGTTCCCACTTGATTTGCCTTTAATTTCTTCTGTTCTTCTTCCCCGTTGTTGTGATTTATATCGTACAGCAATATTACACGTCCAACAGACACAACAGTTCCTTCCTTGACTTTCCACTTTAATATCTTTGCCGATTTTCCCGTAGGAAGAACAATTTCTACAGCTTTTGCGCCCATATTGACCGGAAGTGGACACATGGCTGCCAATATTTTCATATTCCTTAACCATAGAAATTTCCCCTTTACAACAAATTTTATAGTAAATAAGAAAGATCTGTGTTAGAAGCATATTATGAACGTATGTACTAATGTGGTTGCATTGTTTATATAAAATTAAAAAGCATGAATTTTGTTAAAGTTGCTAAGAAAAAAATCTTTAGTTAATGTGTGAAAAATGTCCCTTCTGACGGAGAATTGTTTTGTATTGGTTGTGCTGAAATGACTTCTAACAGGCTTGTTAACTGTTTTGTCATTGGGTTTCCACTGAGCAGTCGCACAAGTAACCAATCATGAATTTTGTTATGTTTGAAGGCATAAACGTTATTTGTTTTAAATGGTGTGTCGTTTTAACCAGTGTTATGTATTTTATTTGATTTAAAGTTATTAATGATTCTTTTGTATATTTTATACTGTGAATGGGTGTTCTTTAATGTTATGTTTATTTTCCACTACTGCTTTACATAACTGTGCTGGTTTGTTTGGAAAATGGCCAAGAATAGAGTAAGTCTAATAGGTTAGCTGCTGTTCTTTAAATTGCAGTATTCTAATACTCATCTCATAAATGTAACAAATATTTAAAAAGATTATATATGTTTATTGTACAAGCTTGTCATGTTATTTTCGCTGGTAAATATAATGTTTGGTTAAATTTATGCATGGACCCACAATCTAGCATTAGGCAAACAATCTAATACAAGTTACTTTGATTTTATAACTGTTCCCTCACGCTGTTTTTTCTTGTTGCACTTAAATAGCTTGTATTGTAAGTTTGTGTTTTCATATAGAGAAGAAGGCTAATTAATTTTCACCATTTTTAACAAATTTCTGTGATCTTGATCACTTGCAAATGAAAACAAGACTGTGCAGTATTTTACATTATTGATTTTTGTATATACTACAACAAACATTTTGGAAGTTTGTGTAGTCTGATTTATGTGTTTTATGGTACTTCTGCTTGGGGAAAACTTAACTTTCAGTTTGATATATTAAGATCCTGATTTCCATTCAATATACAAAATGTGCCTGTATAAATCCTTATTGTGACTGTTGGTCTAGGTTATGTGTTGTTTTTATATTTGTCCTGTTTTTCCTATGAAGGAAGATTTTAACATTATTTATTTGTTACCCCTCAAAGATATTGAGGTGGAAATACAACTAAACATTAGTACAACATACTGACTAAATCATAAAATAATGAGCTGACCACAGGAAGAAATCTCTCTGAGATAAATAAGAGTAAAAGAATATGAGGTGCATTACTCATGATATATGACCTTATATGTAATAAGATAAACATAATTTTTACAGATTTACAATCTGTTACCTATCACACACAATGTCATTAGTGTCTGATTAAATACCAGAGGTAAAATTTAAACTTTTACAATAACGTTTTGAAAGAGTTACCCTAACACTCCCTTCTTAAAGGTGGGTTAACACCATCAGTGATGAAGGAGAACGGTTAGTTGTATTTGGATTGTGATGTCGACGCCACATTCATCAACAAAACGTCAGCGACTGTCTGAAAAACTCCACACACCGAGATCAGTATTTGGAATCAGAAATAAAAAAAAGGAAGAAACAGAGCCAGGAAATGATTTACAAGTTCAGTATACAATTCAACCAGAGAGACTTTATTCTAATTTCCATGATAGCGATTCAGATGACGAAGATTACGATGGACTTGAAGGTATGTACAAATTAAGACGTAAGATTCAGGAATCTGTGTTTGGTATTTGTGAACGTAAGTGACAGTTGTGTGTTGGCTGTGGCAGCCAACAGCATGGGTGTTCAGTCATTTAGAATTGTGATGACCCACTAATGCTGCCAGGTGCACTTCAAGATAAATGGGACTTCCCATAGTTTAAGAACAAAATAGAAACTGTTAATCTGAGAAGTGACACAAATGCTTTTAATTCATACAGTACTTTCAGCAGAGCTGCTGGGCTTGTCATATTCTCTTCTTAGGTGTACAGTGTGTGTGACTGGCCTGAACTTGTAAAATTCTTGACAGGGACCAAGGTGAAAGTCTAAGACGTTTCTGTTAGTGACTAAGTCTGATGAGAGATGCAGTTATAATCCAACTTTGTAATTTTTCATGTTTTATAACATGTAAATGGAATGTGTACTTCTTTGTAGACCTCACTGGCAAAACATGGAAGGTCTTCAGGGTATCACCATTGCACAATTTTGAATATACGACTGTCCGAATGAAGCAGTACAGTCTGCGGCTGCGAGAAGGACTTACTACTTTACTAATGGATTCCACAAATGATGCCCATTATGATGTTAATTTCTCTGTGGCTGAAGGACTTGCTCAAACACAGAATGACAATGAAGCTGTAAAGGTTGGTACCACACATAGATGCTGTAGTAGTTTCAGTACGAACCTAGAATTTTATTAAACATTTGTGGCATAACATAATACTTCATGCAAAGTTCCTATTATTCTTGTCTGATTTTAACCAAAACTGGAGTTTCCCTGATGATGGAGGCAGCAAACACCTCTGAAATGTCGATAAAATTCCACCAGACTGCATGACACAACATCCCAAGAGACAGTCCACCTTCAAATTTTAATACAACTTACCAGTATTAAATTTTATTAAAATCTTTCGCTGTTCTCGAGTTGTTACGTGCAGACAGACAGGGCAAAGCTAACGGGCATATGTTTGCAACTTGTGATTGTTAACGTACCTAAAATACATTCCATGAAACACTTACTTTATTCACTCACCTAGTCAAGAAAATTCCTACCTTTTATGGAACCTGAAGGTTCATTACTATGCAAAATATCAGATTCTTACATTGACAACTATGAAGATGGATATTGCCCCACATACTCTGGTAGGAATTGAAGGACATTTCAGAGGAGCTTGCTGCCTTCACCATTAGGGCAATGAGTTCTTGTTTGCATATGTATTTAGTTTTAGTGGGAAAGAAGTCTTTAGTTAATATTAAAACCAGTTATAATAGGAAAGTAGTATATTATTTTCTCCTTATTACTCTCATTGATTGTAGATAACGGTTAATATGAAGAAAAATAATGGGGAAAATGTACGAAGCAAACATTACATTGGCTTCCTGGTGTGTCGAGGTGCGTCAAAAGCATTAGGAGAAGAAGCAACAATTCATCTACCATTGCTACTGTGTAGTGGGACAGTGAGAACTACTAAATCAATTCATCACCTTCTTCGAAAGTTCTTTGACTGCTCCATTGATGCATATCAGATAACGCAGGAGGATCTGGCGTGGTTGTGTGCATTACAGGCAGATGAAAAGGACACGCGCAAGGGGGCTTCTCAAGTCGAAATGACGTTCTCATTCCCACAGTTGTCTGTAAGGAACAGGATTCAATTTAAAATTCCACTTACAAGTGTAAAATATTTGTGGAAAAGGTATGTACATTGCAGGGTGTGTTTTGCATTTGGAATGATATTAAATTGGGGTGTCTGAGAAAACATGTTTTAACCCCTGAATTAAAAAAAAAAACCCCCCCCCCCCCCCTCCACTGAAGGATAAATGTTGAAGATAATTTCACAACATATGTTTCTCCTGCATTTATTTAACTTTGTAATGAAGGAGTTGGTCATATAGTTCTTAAGAGAGCAAATTAACTATGCAGCTGACATGCATGTTTGTATCCAATGTCACTGAACCTACAAAATTATGTACTGAGCATTGGGTTGGTACTCCTGTTTCATATGCGCTAGGTTCCAGGTCAAATCTCAGCCCAGAGGTTTGATGACTGAGGAGAGTTTTCATGTTTATCCTCAGTCCCCTCCATGCAATTCCAGAAAAGTACCTTAAATTAGGTTATGATTACTTCCTTCTATATCCTTTCCAATTAATTAATCATTAATCCCATCATTTGACATTAGTCTGAGCTGCTAAGAGCACTGTTAACCTCTTTGAAGCCGGAGCTCATCCAAATAATATTTAAAAATCCTGTCTGTACTGCAAAGAAAACATGACACTTCACAATAAAGTTCGGCTGGTTAATGCTGTTTAAGGAAATAATTGCTGTTTGCTGAAGTAGGTGGGGGCATATATCGTTATAAACATATACAAACTTAGTCCAAATATGTGACTTATTTCTAGTTGTCATGACTGACTGAGTTGGCCCAATGAAAACACACTGGGGAGATGCCCGATTTGAAACCCAGCCGAGTACCAGTTATAGTGCCCGATATAAATATATATACAGTATTAAGTACGAGGCTCTTCATTTTATAATTTTCTCTTATTGATTCAACTTTCTGAGGTTCAAATATTCCATGCACTTCCTACATTTTAAAATAATTTAATAACAACCAACGAGTTTGGTTTCTCTTCATTTTTGTTTAAGTGAAATGTTTTTATATTACAGCATCCATGACTACAACTCAGAATATGCTTCGTTTGAAGAAGTGAGCAGGTTTTATGAAGCACTGCAACAACAATTGGCCCGTGTGTATGAGTTCAATATTGAGAAAGGGCAGCTCATGCGAATCAAAACTCCAACATTAACCATTAGTAATGAAACCAAACTAATGGCTAAGACAGGAAGGGTATTGAACTATGTGCTCAAGTTTCTCTACGAGGGATCAGCAGTGATCGACACCTGTGCCCCGACACTGAGTGTCGAGCCAGACTGACATAGCTGTTTTATATATTTTAGCAGCGCAAAGACAAGTTTTTCAGTCTGTATCAAAGCAAACTTGTTAAAGTGTCGAGACAACTTTGCAAGTTATCAAACGCGTTTGGTTGAGCGAGTCGTAAGAGTTCATAAATTTTAAATATCTGATGTAACAGTTAATTTTGCCAGTGTCTTACTATGGGACAGTATATTGGGACAGTGATATGTTAATAATATTTTGTCATACTGGCATAACATAATTTTTTAGAAATAATTATTTTTAATGGCTGGCTGGCACAACTTAACTGTAAATAGGTCTTATATAGTTACATTTTTTATAGTTATGGATAACTCGAGAGTTGTGTCAGGGGTTTTATATAAATAACATTTTAAGGACAAGGTGTCACGCATTCTTTCTACATGCAAAAGAATCTTTCATAAATGTGATCATCATATAAATGCTTTCTGTACATTGCGTGACATTTGTATGATGACCCCTTTTGTTACACATGAACTGCTTCCTCAGCATGGATGTACATGCACCTGAAGTTAAAATTTCCATGCCAATCTGTTGACCTTCCCTCCTAAAGAAGACCAACAACCAGACCGCTCCCCCCCCCCCAAAAAAAAAAAATCTGTGTTGTGTGAAGTGCAGTTCAAAGGTCAACTGCAGCTGTGTACACTGGATTCTTTTAAAGTAAAATAATGTGGCTTTAAGACTGTCTCAGAATATTTGTATCCTGGGGGTAAATACAGGAGATAATGCAATGTGAGCTGTAATTAATTTCCTTTGAAATGGAACTCTCCAAAATGTGAACATTCTTAATGACAGCTATAGACGAGACACTCATATAAAAGCATGATCATATGCGACACATGTACGTGATACTGGTGTTTACAGTTTTTCTTAAAGTCAGCTCCCATCAACAGTACCCTATCTAAGCACCTAATAGACATTCACATGTTCATGAAAGGAGATGACCAATTCATCAAACAAAATCCTGCCCCAACTCATATCCTTACATTGTATTTACCTATGATCCACTCCACAGTATCTACGTGTAGCGTACGGCATCTCATCAATCCGAGCAAACACCCCCCGGGACACCAACAACACGAAGTGAGTAGTGCAAATAAGATGAAGTTTTCATAGCAACTACAAGTGATTAAAGTGTTTGCAATATAATAAAAAATTCTTGTTCAACTATGATAATATTGTATGACCAGCACATTAATCCAGCTCAATAAACTCTCTGCTGAATTATAAATATGGCTACAGGAAAATACATTCCAGGAATATTACTTTTTGTGTCTGCCCTCTGAAACTCTGAGGTACAGGGAGAGAGAAGCTGTCAGTTGTGGACAGGTTTCATTTGAATACCCTCATAAAAGCAGAGTCCATTATTGTGCCAGAAAATCTCTCTTGGTCAGTATTTCCATTCACTTTAGTAGGTACGTCCTTTTTTTTACCACAACACACATACCACAGTCCTGGTGTTTAGAGCTGATATGTAATCAGTCCCTTTTACTCCATGTTATTCTACTATATTTTATAACAATATGCTCATCATATTTCCATGTGTCTGCACCCCCTCCCCCAAAATACATTGAAACAACAGATTAAACTTTTGAGTATGGAGGCTGTGTGAAATACACATTTCCATGTATAATGGCAGAAACAAATGAACCAGTTCGCCTCAACAAGTAACATTTGGCAGGCAAAACATAGGAACACATTTTATATGAAACAATTTTTTATTAACTTAGAAGTTACAAACAAAAAAATTAATATTGTGTGTTAGAATGAGTTTTTATTAACTTAGAAGTTACAAACAAGAAATTAATATTGTGTGTTAGAATGAATTTAATGTTTAACTGTAATCATACCACAATATTTTAAAATATATTTCTATTTGTTGCATGCTAACAGTTACAAACTTGAAGGTGCAAGCAAATCTATTATGTCGTAGCCCAAATCTGTACTAGTGGAAATTACGCAAAGAAACATGACTAGGTTGAATTATTATTCATTTATAGTGCCACTAGTTTCAATACATATCTTAAAACATTTAAAGGAACAAACATCACAAATTCCTGTAATGTTATCCAAGAACATTCTCTACGAAATGATTAGAACACTTCTTATAATATGTGCGCTGTCAATCTCCACACCTTGTTATTAAATTTTTATGAAACAGCCTCCCAATCCTTAAATAGTCCCTAGTATTACAACTGACTAAGGGAATACATAGTGAAAGGACTTTAATGTGGAGTCTTGCGAGTACCACACTGTGTCAAACTAGTAAACACTACTGATGTTTCAAAGGAATGTTTTGCCTCTTTAAGGTTCAAATGACAAAAAAAGTAGTGCCAGAGGTTTTACGATATACTCATTATGAATGGTTAATATAACAATTGTGGTATGTGGTGATCCTGAAGAACCACCCAAGGCATTTCAGCCCATAACTATGATTGGATCAATTGTGTGATATTCTATTTGTTGCTGGTAAGCCTGTGCTCCTTTTTCTACCAATGACACACTTTATACTTTGTTGTCATCAGTTCATCTACAGCTGAAAGGAGACAGACTCAGTGACTCATGTTGCTTCTTGTACAGCCTCATAAAGAGAACAGCTGCCTTCAAATTCTCAGCAAAATTCATGCCTCTTATAGGAACCTGCAGAATGACCACTATGTCATTCAGCTGTAGAACACATACTTACACAGACACAGTGAAGAAGATATCTTTACTTTTAACTTGAAATTAAGTTGGCAGTTCAATAACCTTAAAATCAAAAATAATACATTTCCCTCTTTAAAAGAACCTGTAGTCTATATTTTTGTATTACCATCTTACACCAACAAAAGATCCTGTGATTCACATAGAATTAAATAAAAATATATATGAAAGCATACTATACTAAAACATTAAATTAATAATTACAGTTTAAGAATATTTTAAGATTTCACTACAGATATTTACAAATGAGGGAAGGTGGTGGTTAGGGAGGCAGCCAGTAGGAGGCCAAATAACCGATCGTCACACTTGATTGGATTTGCGAATGTCTGTCCAGGCCAGTTAAATAAACTGCCATCAGAGAAATCTTTCTTAAATAAAAAAAAAACACCCTTGATAAAATTTTATACAAAGTAAATTTACCAAGCACTTCTTTAACCCCTTTGAACCCAAAATAAGTCGAAATTGGTTGCTCTTCGCTGGAACAGAAAAATTACTATTATAATAAAAGATCAAACAGCATCAGTTTGAGAACACTCATCTCTGCTGCAACAAAAATTATTACTCCCGCAAACAACGCGGTTCCATTCTTTTCTTTTTTTTTAGAAAAATTGTATTTTTATAGTCTGAACCAACTGGATGAAGAGATACATCTACATTCCTTTACTTTCTGAAGGTAAATAAACTGTGAACCGCTGTACAAAGCTGATATGTATGGGCATGAGCCTAGTTAATTAAGTATATGAAATAAGCCTGGAAATGTATGCATAGCATAACCGTAGCATTTTTGCCAGAATATGACTTCTGACACCAGATGTCTGGTCAGTGACCTCTGCAAGGGCAGTATGTCTGATCCCTGGCTGGGTGATGATGTAATTGCAGTGGATTACCCATGTGTGATTCCACAGTAAGCAAACATTAACAAAGTTAGTCAGGGGATTCCCTACCTAGTCATTCCACGAGCAGGCCTTCACGATATATGCCAATTATTATTCGATCTGAATTAAAACTGGCAGGTGTTCTCAGGTTTTAATAAAATATCATGAAAATCTGTTCTCAAGTTCTAATATACAGATGGACAAACATAGAATAGGTGCATTTTTGTAATGTCTAGTTGCATATATGTTTAAAAACTGTCACATGGGTCAACAATCCTCCTCTGAAACCACTTGCAATCTATGGCACATATTTGGGGCTTCAAGTATGCCACTAATAGTTGCAGAACCTAGTATTTGAAAACTGGTTGAACTATACAAACATTTTTAAAAATTTTCTAAAAATGCTCCTCACATTTTGAAGACAGATCTGTTCATGTCTTCAGGTGAGGGAAGTGTCTCTGCACTGTGGGATCCGTTGCAATGAAGACAAGGACAGATCCAGACCTCGAAATACTGCTTAATTTTATAACATCAGGTGATGGACAGATCCAAAAAACAACAATCCACACTTTACTGAGGCCAGAGACCACAGATGATGGGGATGATGATAATAAATACCTTCCTTCCCCTCTCTGTCTAATACTGCCAGGCCCCCACAAGACTATGTCAGCCAGTCAAAAGTATTTGTTGCCAATTACACTTACCACCATCAACATTCCTGCGAACAGAATGGTTAAACTGCTGAAGAGGAATGTAGGGGAGTATGCTGGAGGGGGAAGCATATCTGATGGGAGATGTTGAGGAGGCTGAGCTATGAAACATCTTTCCACAGCTACTAGGTGGGGAATCCCCAGCGATGCCAACACCAAAGGTTACTGACCCCAGACAACTCTGACATCACTAGTGCCATTTGCAAAGATCAAATTCTGGCAAACATACCAGAACTGTTACACTATGAGCATGTTTTGTAACTAATTGTTTATTTAATGTTCCTGTGTCAACTACAAAATTTATAAAACATCCTTGAGAAATTATAGGGTGATTATGAAGAATACAAATGTTGGAGGAGGCAGTCATGGCATATTTTAGTAATATCTTGGGGACCCTTATAAAACCACAATCAGGAGAGACAGTCTCATAGCCACGATTCAATTTGGTGTAATCATTTATAACATCACTCAATTTAACTTAATATAAAAGAAAATTATGCCTCAAGAAATGTAGGATCATGCACATGCCTTCTTCAGAAATCCAGCAGAATGACATATTTCAGAAACTTTGCACTAAAGCACATACAAAGTGTTTATAATGAATGTTGTACAGAAAAAAGTTACAAATGATCACGGTAGTACTGCAGTTAAGATAAACATTACACAGAATGACACAGGAATGTAAAACCATACGACTTGTCACAAGTTTTACGACTCATACCACATTTTCATCTTTCTGCTCACGGAAACCACGTATGGCAGGCCGGTTTACAGGTATCGGCACAAACCACTCCACAGAAAAATGGTTTTGACTGTGAGAAAATAACACAAGTCTCAACAGTAACTGGCAACCACACTACATGATTACCCAGACGAACACATCTAAAGCATTATATTCTTTCCACAATATTTTATAATCATTTGCCTTTGCTCAAGTGTGAAAAATGATGTTACAATTAAATATACAAGAACATTATTTTTTCAGAATAAGATAAAACTGAACATACACATACTGGCATTTAGAACACACCATCTGATCAGATCTGACGTACGTTCCTACGATCCTCAAACACCCGACACTTTGTGTGCAGTGGTAATAACTTCAAAACCATTACACTGTCAGTATTCACAGCATTAATGAATGTCCCTTTCATACACAGGAAAGCGTACCCTCAGGGTGACTGAGCCACCTCTCTGTGTTCAGCAAATTTACAACTTCTCAGAATAGATCTCCAATACCAACAGATACCCTGCACTCAGGTTGCTTGTCAAATCAGGCAAACACACCTCCACAATGCTCACCAAACTTGGAGTGCTCAAAAAAAAAAAAAAAGAATCTGCTTTGCACAATTTGTAACTTGGTACAGGATGCATCTGTAATTATAACATCTTAAAATAAGATATACAAAAGACTTCAAGAATTTAAACTTGGTGCCTTCTGAAGTGGAAAATAACTGTACTACATACTTTACAAATGTTTCCAACACATGAATACCATTTAACAGGATTCCAGAAATATGTTTGCCCATTTGTCTCGGGACTGGGAACGCAGTATGTACTCGTAAGAAGTTTACTGATAAATAGCTACTACACTGAAGTAGTTCCATATATTTCTGGAATTCTGCCACGTAATATGGAACTGGATAATATATCACAAGTTTCATCAAGTGGTGACTGCTGTTCTAAGTCAGAGACAGGCCTATAATAAATACTACTTCAGAGCGCAACATAAATATACACACAAGTTGTCTATTAAAGCTAGAGCTCTGAGCATGTACGTACAGTTTGATCGTTTTGGGAACACTAGCCCTTAGTATCTGACTTAGATGATTACTGCAGTAAGATGTAACCATCCCTAAACTGACATTCAGTAATCATTTGCCTACATGAAAAATGTAACAGAATCCTACACTTCATATCAGTCATCTTGGTGTCTGAAAGAATGGGCAATCTCTTCTCAGTATTACCAATCAAAACATAAATTCTTTGGTTTACAAACAGTATCGGAAGGGTACATGTGTAATAATGGAGTAAAGAGGTGAGAATGTTGCACCTTGTAGTCTGGTAGATAATGACTGATGTTTCAGAGGTCCATGTTGGTCAAACTGCCCTGATGATGGTGGCAGTAAACATCTCTGAAACGTCAGTCAGCATCCACCAAACTACACAGTGCAACATCCAAGTAGAGAGGCATCTTCAATGGAGTGAGCATTTGATAAAGATGGGAAAAAATTTTTTTTCCAGGAAAAGTATAAAATTACTTTGCCAAAATTCAACCCAAGGACTGTTATTATTGTGAACAACGCCCAAACCACAGTGTCAGACTGGTTCAATATTAAAAAGTTGTCAGTGGAACCACGGTTCCGGAGAATTTGACGTAAATACGTCTATAAGGAAAGGAAGTTGCTTATTTAACTTAAATTGGTAAGGCTTCAGATGGGTCTGTGGTAGATGAATGTAATGTAAGGTAAGGTAACTATGTAGGTAACCATTGTTGTTTATTTGTTGATAAACAGATGACGTTTCCAAGGTAACATAACAATGAAGTTACACTTTTTCATTTCCCAGGTAACATAACAATGAAGTTTGACGTTTCCTAGGTAACATAACAATGAAGTTACACTTTTTCATTTCCCAGGTAACATAACAATGAAGTTTGACGTTTCCTAGGTAACATAACAATGAAGTTACACTTTTTCATTTCCCAGGTAACATAACAATGAAGTTTGACGTTTCCTAGGTAACATAACAATGAAGTTACACTTTTTCATTTCCCAGGTAACATAACAATGAAGTTTGACGTTTCCTAGGTAACATAACAATGAAGTTACACTTTTTCATTTCCCAGGTAACATAACAATGAAGTTTGACGTTTCCTAGGTAACATAACAATGAAGTTACACTTTTTCGTAACATTTTTGCCGAATGACACTGACCCTAAAATATAGACGTATTTATGTCAAAAAGTCTTGATTAAAGTAACATTAACGCTTTAGAGCCCATTGGTAACTATATACACCACCACCTTTGACAGTTTATAACTTTGCATTTTGCCCAGAGAATGTATTAATGGGTTTCATGTGGTTTTTAAAGTAAACATTTTTGTTGTTGTTATTATTATTAATGTATTTGTTAAAACTGAACTCATATTTGTGTTATTATAATTTCCTGTCCATTTCTATAAATCCTTTTTATCCAGTTAAAGTGACAAACAAACAACACTCAATATTCCTCATTATCATTAGCCGAATCTTCTGTAAGTCTGGAATTTTTCTCCGATTCACAAGGAAGCTTAAAAGGGGAATGCTCTCAGTGGATTCATGCTTCGCTGTGCCATTACATTGAAAAACACTGCAAAAAACTGAGTCTAGGTCACTATTAAGCAGTTCAGATGCCAAGATAACTGATTTGTACAACACATAAGCTATATACCTATATAAGCTACTGTCAATTTTATATCATACCATACAACGGTTGACACAAGAGCACATTACAACACGGTTCTTAATAAATGTCACTAATGCAGCAAGTGAACCTTACGCATAAGCTACCACATAACAGTGCTGCCTAAAATGTCAATACAAGACCCCTCAGTAAACGTGTGACATTTGTTAAACGTTGTTCATACGAACTTCTTGCTTTAGATCACTGAAATATGTTTAGCTTACATTCCTTTGGAGCTAAATTCTCAATCGCCAGCTTTCAGGATGTAGTATACAGTGACCCAAAAAGCAACCAACAGGTTAAGCAATGACGGAGCCAGGAAAGGCATTTGGACTAATGCTTGAAGAAGAAGAACAAGATGGAAAAAAAAAAAAAAAAATTATAAAAACTTCTAAATGACTTATGAAAAATTTCCTAGAACTAAGTGCAATTAAATCTTCTGAAATTATCACAATTAAGGATTAACGTTAACACGCCGGCACATTTCTAAATGTTCCTTGCAATGAATATATAGAAAACACACACAAAACCAAATACTAGCATCATTACTTCAGATACTCATTTAATTACAACTATTTCAAATTTAAATATATTATGTTTTGAATATAATCATAGCTTCCTACAATATATATATATATATATATTTATAAATGTATGACAGTCCATCAAGTGAACGATCAGTTTTTACCTTAAGGTACAGTTTTACATCCAGATCTGATCCATCTTGGCATGAGAGGGGGAGGGCAGGCAAGGGGGAAGCGGTCGGACGACGGTCGGTCACCGAGGCCTCACTCAGAGCCCTGGGCAATAGGAGCAAGGGGCGAGGCGGGCCAGCTCCTAACAGCAGCCACCCCCCTGCATCGAGCCCTGGCTACCTGATGGAAGACTTGGGTTGGTGGGCGAATGTTGAGGACCAATCTTGATTCCATTTGCCTGGAAACATACAAAGATGCGAGACAACTGAAACCAAGTGCCAAAGGATGAAACAGCAGGTGGAAAAATTCAAAATCAAACACGCGGCCTCCAACTTAACCTTTAATCCCACATAACAGATACAAATATTTTATAATATAAGTTAAGAGAAATAAAATGTCTGCGTCATAAGACTTCATAGGAAATTATAATGACGAAGATAATCTTTATATGACGGGCCACACAGAGTAAGTACGTTCTTACGTCTTACTTAGAATTATACAAATATAAAAATTAATATTCTAAGGTTTACTGTGTTTTTGAGCCTGGCTCTGTCTCCACTGCATACTGTAATGCATGCAGTTGAGGAATATGATTTGTATGAGATATTATCTGAAATCAGTAAGGGTTTTAAAGCTGTCCTGCTACATGCCACGGAGGCGCCTCAGAGAACAGGTGATATGAGCTCCTACTCATCCTTGATCTCAGTCCTAGATGGGGATGAGTGGTCAGAGTCAGGCCCAGGCAATACTTTAACTCCTGGGAAAGTACCTACAGTATCCACTGGACAGAAGGCTGGGTTGGCCCCAGAGTGAGTCTGCACAAAGAAACTAAAAGAAAGATCCTTTGTCCCACCAGGGATCAAAGCCCAGTCTAGTCAGGCACTGATTGCGCTACTCTAGCTCCTCTAAACTCAGCTAACAGAATGTATTTCTCCAGCTTCCCAGTCTTGAGGCTTCTGAGCAATGTTCAACAAACCTCATTGTTAATGTCAAAAACTCCTTCCTGAATCTTCTCATAGATCTCTTTCGCCGTGTTGATAAACGCTTCCTCGACATTGGCAGCCGTCTTGGCCGATGTCTCCATAAAGATGAGGCCATGTTCACGAGCAAATGCTTCACCCTCTTCCTTCTTTACTTCCCTCCGTGACTCAAGATCACTGAGAGGAGAAAAAACACATTTATGACCTTTGATTCAAACTGAACACACGGAAATAAAAAAAAAATCCCTGAAGATACCAAGTGATTTCTTTTTAGGGGTAAAAGTTCACTACACCTCTTGTTTCCAATAAGCATGATGACCATGTTAGAATTGGAATGTTGTCGTGCATCTTCCAACCATGTTGTCAGATGATTGAATGTCTCCCTCCTCGTGATGTCATACACCAGCAGTGCCCCAGCTGCCCCTCGGTAGTATGACCGGGTAATGGACCTGAACGCTTCTTGGCCAGCCTGTGTCATTATGGATTGATTACTAGGATATAATTATATGGGTCCTTAAATTTGGTTTCCTTCATTAAGAATGACTACAACTGATGTTAGTACCATACAAGTAAAGGTAAAATTTGCCTGTGTCAACACATTACATCAGGAATCCACAACTTGTGGCCCACAGGCTATGTGTTTTGTGTGACCAACATCCTACTTTGGTAATAGTGTGTCCCGCGTGTAATAATTAATTGATATCAGAAAGAATTTGGCAGTACCTATCCTCCGGTAAGCAACTGTTCACGTTTATAAAGATTTACAAATCAAGAGCATACTTTAATGATGAGCAATCCATGCAAACTGCAGCAACAGAACTATATTTTCTAAGCTCAGGTACACTTAACGCTACTTCAGTACTTACTGTATCCCAAATTTGCAATTTAATCTGTTTTCCATCAATCGTGATCATACGAGCTCCAAATTCAACACCTGCAACAAAAAAGACATGTTAAACAACAAATTAAAGATTTGTTTTCACATTCATATACATAACAATAATTTTGCCACTTGTTTTGCATGTCTATTTTTGAAAGCACTGTGAAAGTAGATGCAGACAAGGAAGAACAAGAAGGCAGCTGTTTTCCAGGAAGTTGTAGTCCTGTAGGAATTGACTAACATTCCAGATAGGAAGTTGTAGTCCTGTAGGAATTGACCGACATTCCAGACATGCCCTTCTCCGAATGTTGTCAATGATGCTTCATACCTGCGCTCAGGCCTTTATGGGGAATTTATGACAGCCTACAATTTCTGAGAGAGCAACTGGATAGTTTAAATCATTCAAATTTTCTTTAATTTCTACCCAAGCTCCTGATTTTTAACATGGCACATCTACATACTGAGGTCTGCAATATACATACCTATAGTCAAGTCATGAACAGGCTGAAATCTCTTATCTGTAAACTGCAGCAGTAGACAAGACTTTCCTACACCTGTAAAAGAATTATGATGTTAATGACTAATGTAATTACTGCTCCTGGTTCATAATATATAAATCAACACACAAGCAGTGGTGGTAAGAGTTTATTTTAAATGTCTCAGATCATGAAAATGTTAAACAGTGCCCATTTCAGGGCCACTTTGCCACTTTCTTCCCTTTAACATTCTTCCCGCTGTAGGATTGAGGTTATCATGAAGATTAGTAAGAAGATGGCTACATGCTTGGTTGTAGCACCGTGTAGCATTGTAGAAGTTAACCAACATTTCAGAGGTCCTTGCTGCCTTTATCAACAGGGCCTCCATCATCATCACCCTGATGATGGTAGCAGCAAATACCTCTGAAATGTTGCGAAATTTCTATCAGACGACACGGCGCTACAACCCTGCAGGCAGCCATATTCAGTCTTCCCTTTGTATGTACTTCTCCTATACAAAGTCCAGTGACTTTATATTCATCCTGGGGGTTTTCTCCCCCTCAGCCCCTCCAGGTTAATGCCGGGAATAGTACCTCATATTGGGCCACGACCGCTTCCTTCCACATCCTTTCCAATTTGCTATCATCCCCTCATTTGATGTCATACAGTCTGAGCTACTGAATTGTTAAATAAACTACAAATAAATAAATTGATTTCAGTCTTTCGGGATATTATTCCAGACGCCACTGCCACTTAAATAAATGTCACAGGTCCAATCCTCCATGGTTACAGAGTTTTTAAGTTATTAGTATAAACATGTACCAATGAGGTTAGGTTCCACTTACTGGCTCTAGTCCAAACAGAAACTATTGCAAACAAAAACAAATGATGAAACAGTATATGTCCCCAGCTCCCTACCAAGAATTCAAACATATTGCACTGTTAGCAACTTGAGCAAGAAGAGTGTAATGGCAATATATACAGAAAATGACTCTTTAAATATGGCAAAATACAGAAGACGTAGGAGAGTCAACCTTTGGGATTAAATCTGGAGATTCCAAATACTCATACCTGAAAAAGTATTAACTTTGGTAACCCCAAAAGCACACATTCTAGTATTAAAGTCGTGTGTAGCACTGGGAGGATATGGTAGGATTCCTGAAGGGGCTAGCATGTCAACATGAAATCAAAGAGGTATTTGCATGGTCTAAATACTGACGAAAGTAACTAGTATTTGAGCTAGTATATGTTACGGGCGCAAAACACAAATTGTAAACACAATGAACCAATATTCAACGAGAAATGGTAAAATATAAAACAATGGGCACAGACTAGGAAAACCTACCAACAACAAAGGCCACCTTCAACAATTGTTAAAAATAAGTCAACAAAGCCGGCTCCAGGAAACTGACAACATCATTATGATGCACACACATTTAGTTTAAGAACCACTGCATAAATTTATCAAAACTCAAAATGAACAGTAAATCACTGATCTTGGAGTCTACACTACTGACTGGGAATATACGTATAAATCAGTGTCAGTTTCAGCCGCCTTCATACCGTTATACGTTAAATAATATTGTTCTAGGCTCTCATAAAGAAAGTTCTTTATTCTTATAAGGTATGCAACAAAATGAGTCATGATTTCTGCTGACAAATGTCGATGAGTATACACCCTACCTTCATTCAATAAGCACTGGATAGGCTACATTTGTTTTAATGTACAAATTACATTCTCACCTGTATCGCCTATGATTATGTACTTAAATAAATAGGCGTAAGACATCTTATCAACTTATATATTTACAATGACAAGAAACTTCAATATTTAACGAAAACCAGACAATTATACTGCTCTTGCGTCACAAAATAAATACGCAACTACCTACAACCACTGCCCATAATACCACTGGAGTAGAAACAAATGAAACGACTCAGCGCATGAGCTACTATAGGTCAACAAAAATACATTTCACTATGGTACGAAGGTATAGGTTCAAAAGAGTAAATAATACATAAGAAATAGAAGAGCATTCTTGTGGTTTAAGATTCGGATTTCGTTTCTGAGATAGCAATTACGGGGTTTCTCCGGAAATTTCTAAATATAAATTAATAATTTACTAAACTAAACCATAACATTGTGGAGGGAGTCCGAAAACGGTAGTTTTCGTGAAGTGGTGCATTTGACGACGTTATTAAAAATATCTATTGTCTTCAAAATGCAGATATGTATTATTTTATGCATTATTAACAGGATTCTAAATGATTGTCTTATTTGATAGTTCTAATAAAGAACTGTCTCAGTCTTGAAACTTTACTAATTTAATGTGATGTACAGAAAACCAGAAGATAAATTCCATGGCCATACAAGAAAACATGTGGCTCTTGGCTATTCTTTGATATGTTACCTCATAACTCGAGAGAGGCGCAGAATTCATCAAGTAAGCCCTATTTCATTAGAGGAACACGACTACCACATACTATTTTGAGTGAAAGGTAACTGATCAATTTCATTAGAGGAACACGACTACCACACACTATTTTGAGTGAAAGGTAACATACAACATTTGTTAATACTCTACAAGTATTAACAAATGTTGTACATGTAAATGACATGTATGGGCAAAGTAAAAAGTCAAACAAAAATGTAGACAAATGCTCAACAAAAAATAACTAAAAGGAATACCAACAAAACAAGGTACTTTTCTTTAGCAGAATTATGAAACAGCTCCTAACTCTGCCAAAATGGGAAAGCAGTCATAAAACACTGCTTATAACAAGAGGAAAGAAAGAGTACTTGAACACAAATTATGGATTTAGATCTGTCTGTGTAGGTTGGATCACAATCACAAAAATAAAGCTCTGTTGCTGCCCAATGTTCTCAATTCTGAAGACACTGCTCAGTGTCTGTACTCTGCAGGTTATTTGAGCAGACTGACTACATGGCAACTATATGGGTGCTGGTATATCACATCATCAATAGTTCAGTTTTAGTCTTCTGCATTACAGAAATATTATTTGGTGTGTATATTATCAGTTACAAATTGTACCTCACAGAGGGCACTTTATTTTAACAGCATTTCTTAATTACTTCCAATGTTTCCTCTTAACGGCTATTATTAACAACGAAGTGTTCTTGGAAATTCAGTATGAAAACTCAAGATAATTTCACCATAAATAAACAATGATGAATATTGAAGAATAGTTTATGCACAAAAGTATTTTACCGTATGTACATGAAATGGCTCTAGTATCTTGCACTTCCTAATTAAATAATTGTTGAACTGCATGCAAAAGGTTCCAAGCATACAAAACTGAATACATAATATTCAAGATAAGAAAGCAAATGTAAATAATGAAATTAGAACTAGAAATGAATAATTTGCATTTCTTCTGAGGTTTACACACAAGAAAATGGGAGTCAGAACATACATTTTTCCTGGGTTCTAGTTGATAATTAAAAAACTAAGTATCCAATTTGATTCATTTACATTTTGTTGTATTCAAAAGTACTGAAGCAATAAAAAAATCATATGGGAACATCTTCATACCATATAACCTTATTAATTTAAAATCATGGGAGGAAAAGATTAATGACTACACTGAATTTAAAAAATCCTCTTGTTTTTTTACAAACTCAACAAATTTAGGATTTGAGGTTCTCACGGTGGTCAATATGAAGATGGCTGTCTTCTGGGTTGTAGCACCATGCAGTCTAATACTAGTTTATAAATGTTTTAGAGGCACCAAGGACCTATGATGCATTGGCAGACTTCTACCAGATTATATGGCGCTTCAAACTAGAAGACAGCCATCTTCATGAATTTTACTTTACATATTTCTTCTTTGCTACTTAAGTCTCAAATGTAGCTGACACAGATTGTATGATTAACCTAACCTTAAATGTAAATGTTACTGTAAAAGCAATGCAGGTGAATGTAGATACATTACAAACAACCTTCAAGAACTTCAATTTCCTAATTACAAATTTCATTACACTTCATACATCTACCGAGACTGGTTCAAGTCAAAACATGTGTAGAAGAAACCATAGAAGAACAAATATCTTTATTTTCTCCAAAAATAATTTTATTCTAATCAAGACACACAGAGTCAAATTAATAAGGCTTTACAGTAATGGAAACCCTGTATTTATTAATATTGTAATATCAACGAAGACAGAATAACAATTTACAAGGTACAAAATATCTGCAGAACCAAGCCATCATCTTAACTATTTTTCAGTATGGAACTCAACCCAACCTAACTTACATGTATGACTTGAAATACACTTTAAGGTATTTGTTTCCAGAACACACACAGTTATGAGCCATTAACCCCAGATCCAATACCCTAAGTTCAAAACATAAGTGGTTTCCTGTGGTCACATTTAGTTTAACAGTACCTATAGTGATTTTGAAGAATACATAAATTTGCATCACACTGGCCACAATACAAAAAATTATTGAACATGCTGCAGTGAATTCCTGACCTAGTTTCTGCATAAAGTGTCACAACAAAAAAACACTGCTGTTGATAAAAAGCAAGTGAATGTCTCAACTGCCCACAAAAAATACATAAAAATTAGTTAACTTTATTGCTATATTCTCAACATTTAAGAATCAAACAAATACAGGACAAAAGATAATATATATAAAGGTCACGCTCAAAATAACTTTCCCATTTCTTAAAAAGAAGACACAAATGGGACAATAACTGTCCTTTGATAAGGTCAACAATCCCACAGTTTTGATGCATTTCAATAGGCAGGATGACGGTACACAGAGTGAAACTGTTCAGCACGATGAAAAAATAGACAAGGGACTGAATTTTGTAGCGTAACACACAACGGCAATACAGTCCCAACAATAAAACCAGATGGGCCCACCAGTGCTTCTGCTCATCTTATCCTGCGCAGATATTTTCAAGCTGTTCTTCACTGCATCTGCCACTGGATGTCCCTTCTAGAAATAAGCAGTGCTGACATGTGCGAAGACATTACATTTATAAATTAAAGTGTTGAATCTTGCTGGACACAAACTACGGCTGTGGCTCAGCAGATTCTACGTACTGGTTTGCCAACGAGCTTAGCATTTTCTGGACAATTAGTTCTGCGCCTTTTCGTGACAGCCTACAGCAATATATATATATATATATATATATATATCTTTCCAATACAAACCTCTCATAATGCATACCTTACTTATAATAAGCTTACCAGATTTTCTGCTCATTTTCCTTTTGTTCACTTAGCAAATAACACCAACACCTGACAAATTACATTATCAACACTGCAACATTTTATTTGTTTAATAAACGTTTTCACACTGAAAATGCATATTCAAGATTTCACTGCAGTCTGTCCAATAATTATTAGATCAGTGCCAAATGAAAGCTTAAGAGTGACAAAGAATTCTCAACACAGATTTCAGTTTTTAATACAGAATTAGGTTACAAGTCTTGAGCACTGTCAAAATAAACATAAAACTCTGCTTCATTGTTTTTTGGTGTATATTAAATCACAAGTAGGAAAAAGTAAGTATTAGTAAAAGACCCAGAAAAATACAGGACCATCTTAAGTTTGTCCTGTGAGCATGTCAGCAGTAGGTCCCTTGATCAATAAATGGCCACTCTTCTTTTACCTTATCAGGCCCCATTCTACATATTTATGTCAGAGTTATTATATTGCTTACCCTGCTTTCTTCCCTGCGCTCATGTTCCAGGGCATAATATCCGCAATCTTGACTCGATTACAGGCATCCATCACATGGAAGAGAAAAAGGTCGAACGTATCAACTGACAGCTACAATTCTGGTACATACCACGTATTGAGATCCAAGTGACCGAAATTAATTATGCAAACACAATGAAGAGTACATACTTTACGGAAGATTTATTAAGACTTGCTATTATTTTTGCAGATGACCATATTATCTGAACAGAACTTCAGAAAGAGTAAAGGCACAAGAACATAAATGGAAACTTCCTATTGACAAAAGCATGTTAACTGATCCAAAAACTGGGTGAATACGGAAAAAATTATAAAACCAAGAGAGAAAATATAAACGACGAAATAGGCCTGGAATCTCCCACTTAGCTTCGATGTTGATGTGCAAAGATATGGATGGAGGGGCAGTTATAAGACAGCTTGCTACAAGGGGGCAACTAACGCTGCTGTTGTAGGTGCAGCAACTCAGGCGCATTTCTCAGTTCCTCATAGCCCGGAGATTCTCGCCTTATCACCAGTGTGATGCCTGAACTGTATGCTGCTGGAATAGTCACATGTTGTGTCACTACCCAACCCTGCGTTTGCACACATGTGCATGTAGATTCCCGTATAATGTTCACCACCTGACCTGCAAAGTACAGATTTCATTATGTTATTACTCTTGTTGCTAAGCACAGTACAACTGGCTGAGAGATAATTACAAGCATAAAGATTTAATAACATCTGACACATCTGTGCACAAGGTAAGAAAGCTTCAAATCATATACAGTCCAACCTTTAATCCCCTCATCAACTGTTAGTATATTTTCCAACATACCAAGCACATTCATTTTCTTCCAACGATGGTCGGGATGTGACATTAGAGGCAGCAAATTGGTGTGGCAATTCCACCTTGCAAGAACATCACTGCGGCGCACCATAAGTACCGAAGGGCTGCAAAGCTGAGGCCAGAGGGCTGCTTCACTCACGCATTCCACAGGGTTTGTAAGATAGACCCCTCGAGGACCAACACCAAAGACCATCTGGTGATGCCAAGCATCAGGCACTGGGTTTCCTGGTGCAATGCCATTCTGAAGATTCAGTGTTGCAATGGGAACTGCACCTACAATAATCTTCAGCGTCTTCAAACCAATCACTTTTGTGCATTTTAAAAATACTAGATGTATCCACACAATTTCGGGCTCATGCAACATTATTTAAAATTTAAGACTGAGTAAATTTTCACCAGTGTGAAATATGCTGCTTTAATTTATTTTTAGGTGTTTCAAAGTATGAATATAAAAATCTGACACCAACTTTCTGAGCACAGAATGGATTCAGTTTTCTTAATTTACTTTCTAGCATCATATTGTTCATTACAAAATAAAAAATGTACTTTTTATACATATAAAAAATGGACATACGTAAACATTTTCCTCTTTATGACATGATTTAGAAAAACAAAATCCTCACACAGGCATGTAAAGAAATGGACATAAACAGAACAATCTCAGAAGAGGCAGGCATTTCAAATGAAGACGTCCAAAGGACGGTGCAGTCAAGAAAGCTGACCTAGCAATCAATATTAATAACAGTATGAGAAATATGTGAAATAAGGCAGAAGACGAAAAACATGATGATGGAGAAAAGTGGAGGCTTTTCATCCAACCACTTATTGTGAACGTACCTTTCTTCATCCAGTATGAAAGCCAGCGTGTCAGAGAGATGACACAGTCAGGGTGCATGCTGAAGAACCGGCCATACAGAGAACCTTCAGAGGCACGCTCAAGGCCACGAATAATATCCACATGAGACGCACCAGCAACAGATCTAGAGAACAGGTACTCGGGTAGAGGAGCTGACTCAGCTCTTAACCGAGTATTCACGCCCTCCTTTACTCGATCCAGACAGAACGGGATGTTGCATGCTAACTGCAATCAACAAGATTAAGTCACAGAGGTTAAGAATGAAATGTGCCAGTTTAAGGCCTTAATTCCTTGACTGAAGCTTAAATATGCATTATACATAAATGTATGGGTGGTGAAGGTATAGTTCCACATATTCTCAACCTTTGTACTAAATGGGGGTGACCGGTATGCTTCATTCATCGGCTCTTTACTGCAAGGAAGATTCCCTGGTAGCCACTAAAAAGGAGTTGGGTAAGCCCCAAGGCAAGTTTGGAAAAATCATAACCACTGCTGAGAATTAAATGTTCATCACCCAGCAGATGCAATAAAATGGTAGAAAGAGTATTAGGGGCTGTTACTCCAAATCAAGTCTTTGGTTTCTGTTTTCTCACATTGGATATAATGTGGTTACATTTCATCTACAAAACAGGCAGTGACAAATTTCATACTTTGATAATTAAGAAATACAAAACAATTATACCAGAACGTTAACAACGGCTGTGGCCCCACAAGCTGACGTGGAGATTTGGGTCACCTGCTTCACACAGGCTTCCTGCTCTGACCAGATCATGGTCCTCTCCAGGGAACACTGCGCCTGCTCTGGACCATCATCAAGCCGCCCCTCCTGGAACCACAATGTGCATACAATATAGTCTGGTTCCCCAAATAGATCCAATAACATATTTAGTTTCTGTTAAGGATTATGTCACTCAGGTATTTTATATGTTAAAATCAATTAGGAGAATGCAAACCTTATTTCAGCATAGAGAGTCTAGCACTCACCGTATTGGATTCGTCTCCATCGGACAAGGACGCCTGCTTGTCAAGGACCAGTCTCTTGGCCATAATGCAGTGGTACAGAGCCGAGTGCAGGGTGTGCTTCCGGGTGTCCACCAGTGTCCCCTCATTCAGCACCCTAGCATTGCTAGAATTCCACATCATCAGTGTCTCTCCCCATGTCTCATTCTCCAGATCACTAGCCTCGCCTGGTGAACAGAGATCACCACTAGTACAGTGATGACCCCACGAGTCACGACGCGGCCAGAACCCAGCAGAGCGCTGGACAATCGTGGACGAGCTCCCTGCCACAACATTTACCCATGGTTGTTGTTGCGGGGGTGATGACTGAGCCACAGGCTGCTCTTCCGGGGAGCTACAGGCACTGACCACGGAGGCAGATATATTCCTGTGGTCATCGTGTGAAGTGACACCGACATCATTATGACCACGGCTATCTGCCTGACAGTCCATCTCAAGCTTCGGCTCAGGAGCATGTCCAGGGTACACTTCTGTCACCTCCTCATCCCTAATTTCACAGCAGTCTGAATCTTCTTCGGAGTCCTGCTCACACGAAGGGCCTGGATCAAAATCCATCTCCAGAAAATCCATCTCTGGTGATGAACTCCCACCATTTCCATCACCATTCCCAACCTCAACATCACCATCTTCCCTCCTAGGACCCTCTCCCTGTTCCCCACCCCGTGTTAACACATCCAGTGTAAAGAAAGAACTTGGAAGATCAGCCAGCTGGTCTCCCTTGTAGGTGTAAATACAACACTCATCAGATGAAAGACCATCTTCACCCTCATTGCCAGTATCACTGGAACTATCGTCTGTTTCATCCCACCTTCTGGTAACACTGTGCTGCAGTTCTGGATGGTAACAGCTGTTAGATTTGGTCAAGTGATCTAAATTATTGCTCCTATTAGAGCAGTTTCTCACTTTTAATGGGCACTTATCCACTGCTGCATGATAATTCACATTGTTATGTATGCCATTTGTATTTTCCACACCATTTGCACAATTCATGTTTATCCCATTGTGAAGCTTATTTATTCCTGAGCTTGAAGCATTAGTATCATCTAATTGTAATTCCAAATTCTCTATTGGTAACACATTGTTATTCACTTTTGCTGAATCATCTGCCAGATGGGGCCTGATACCATTGGGAATATTACACACTAAATTCCTCACTTTTGGTCGTGCACCACCAACAGCCAAGCTACAGTGTTTTCCACAGTCACTGTGCTTGGGGCTGTTATTTAAGCCCTCTCTACTCTGCCCCACTTTACTGGGACTAGACTCCCCATTCATACCATCATCTGCATTCATGTCTCATGAATGAAGTCTGCAATAACATTATGAGAACGATACTCACAAGAAGTAGATTTGGTTCCTAACTATAACTCGGGTATTCTAGAGTAGTCCTACATACTTCATCTCAAATCCTTCTTCTTCAGATTCCAATTAAGACTATGAACTGGGTGAATGGCGAAGAATGTACGTACCAGTTACTTTGTTTTAGTGTATTTCGAACTGTCTTATATACGCGCTCTACTTCAGAAATTCTATCAACCTTGTCACATTCTCACGCAAACACTAAATCACATTTTCGATACATTTATTTTATAAATCTGAAAAACCCAATGTCACGCCTCTTATCCCACTACCAAGACCGGAGGGATTAGATGCAAGTTCTGATGTTCTTTGGTACTACGCAAAGAGTACCGACACCACAGATAATATAAGCAAACGACAGCAACACGTGAATTCTTATTGATATCCTTACATTTTAAAACTAGTGAAAGTTATTAGGCTGCTTGTTTACCATAAAACGAGTATCTTATTTCCTCTCTTATTAATTAAATTTAAAATTTTCTATTGATTATTTTATCTTGATTCTCCACGCATCATTATGCATTGAGAATGCTGCCAACTACGCAGATTGCGTTTTAAACTACGGTTCTTCGTTTATTCTGTTAAATTAAAAAAATATATGAACTTGGCTAGAGTTCAATTAAATGTTGTGACTCTTCATGACAAAGAAAAATTGCAGGTTTCATTGACTGGCACTCTTCCTTTCCCATACTATAACATAGCTGAAGTAGACAAAATTGTGCCAGGTTCACATTAAGGTTATTTTAACAATGTTGTAAATGCAAAGACCATTTTTCTTAGAATATGAAATGGCTATAATGTATGAATAGGAAACGATGTGGATATGGTCTACAATTCTCTGGTTACTAAGAATCCATTCACTTATACATAATAAACATCCATTACACACCACCTAACTAGCATGCACATCTATTAACACAATAAAAGTATGTGAACAAACAGCACCCTGAAACAAATTTATAGTCTTCTCTTGGCATGATGGTTTCTGTCCAAGATCTGATATGATAGGTCGGATGAAGCTCTAGTACACGACCAAACTCAGGAGCAGTTGTGTTAAGGATCACATGGACTCTGGGTGTAAGGAAGTGGACTGGATTCAACAGCTGGCTACAGCTCAGCGGTGGGCTTTGCTGAACATGGAAATAAAGCTTTTACTTTTTCATTAACTAAAAAAAAACTATACACTTCAAAAGAAAATCCTTGCACCACAAAGTACTTTAGTTATTTTCTGTATTTATATTATACAATACAATATTTTTGGCATTCCTTTTACGTGCGAATGCCCCAACCTCATTTTCACACGGTTCTTTCTGATGGTATCAATTACATTGGTTCAAGCATCAACAGTGGACTGCTGAAACAGTCTTAAGGTAGCTATGGCTGGAATATCTGAATACATTTCCCATCATTTATTCCTCCACAATGCTGGATGCCTGTCTGATTCACTATGAGCAGAGATGTATATTCTGTGTGAATTTCTCATCAACGGATAATTTCTTCAACAGAAAATGGTTACAGACAGTGATTTGTTGTACTTGTAAACAGACAGCATATAAAGTATACCAGGAGAATCTGGCAAACTCAAGACCCTTAACATAAATACTCATATTATCATATATGGCAACACAAGAACATTATTTGGCAACTTGCCTTTTGTACACATACTTCCTTCAGTGTAATGTGGACATTATGCCACTTCTGTATTAAGGCTAAAAACACGAGATCGGGGTGGAAAAATACCAAGTGTCGCTCTTCCACGGTAGTGACGAAACCTGCGCAATGGTCGGCGTGCAACAAAGTGACTCCTCCATCGAGCATGAATGTCTGTTGCTATTGCAATGCTGTCACCTGAGAAATAAATATAAACACTACAACCACACCAATACGTGCTTTTCAGTTTAAAGCCAATGCTATCAATCAACAATTTCACAAAAACCATTACCTTACCTTCCTTTTCACATGTGAATTTAAGCCAACCATGACGGTGTACAGAGAGATAATGAAAGAATGTAGGGAGCAGAGAAACAGAGAAATAAAGAGTTTGTGATGTCTCGTTACCTTGTGGGCTTGTTGGGAATACTGTAGTATCAAGAGTGAAGGGTTCCTCCACTTCTTTGAAAATCTGCTCAGCAGTATGAGATTGATTGAATGGAATACCAGTAGCTAGAGAATTGTTGAGAGCACTCAGAAAGAGACTCCAACGAGGGAGGAAGTAATGGGACACCACACCTGAACAGCAAATTCAACATCATGAAAAGAACATTAGATATTACAGGTAAGTAAAACATCAGCAAAATTCCTTTAGGCACTGTAGTTACCGGTAAATGGACAATGGAAGGAGCAAACATATGAAGTGGTCCAAAATGTTCACAGATGCCTAACACTAACCAAGATACCAACCACAGCAAGCAACAGCTTAATTTACCTACAATAATTCCCATAAGATTTTCAATAATCAATTAACAAAATATAATGATAACACAAGGATAAAAATACTCATGACTGACAACAGTAAGAAGCTAAATGTTTTTTAGAAAGGTCTCAGGTTTAAAACTAGCCCTGATCAAGTAAGATCCTCTCTGTTGACCAACATCTTACAGCATCAAAGATGGAGGCAGTATGATCCCTAAAACATTGGCACCTACTCTAAGCCCTCACAGCATTACAACTGAGGAGACCAACAATAACATCATCGCTGTAAGGACCTCAAATGTCATTCTACCACTAGGTACAGTGGATTCTGGCTGGAAGAGGTTAAAATATTTACAAAACCATAACTGAAGGCATTATCCATAATAATGATGTACCTGCCCACTGTTTATTGGCGTAGTCAACAATCTCACCATGAGGTCCCCATAATGTGATCTGGTTACGAGCGTTGTACTCATACAATTGCTTCTCCTAAAAAAGATCATGATACAATACAAAATTTATCATTTTAAAAAATGCTAAATCTTAAGAGCCACAGCACATACTATCCCAATGTTCCGCAACATTTGTTTATGATTTTTCAAATATACACTTACATTACTAGTTTTCATATGCATTTGTTGCTGATGTTCATTTGTTACTTATATAAATCTGATGTTTTAATATCACACAACAGATACAAAACTGCACACAATAAAATATTCTGCCTTACATTTATTTAAAGATTCAATAAATTGAAAAGTGTTTCAAATATAAGCGTTAGATCTCAATGAAATCTGTACTTTATGTTATGTATGTAATGAAATGTCAACTGCTAGGTGTCAATGTTGAACTGCGTATGTGGTTACAACATATTTTAATGTACCTTGGAGCATTTTCCTTAGAAACTGTGGGAAACAAAACTCCCTGGGTCAAGATGTGAACCAGCAACTTCTGAATGCAAAGGGATGCTAAGAATCTGTTACCTCAAAGCACTAATAAAGTACACTGAGCAATAAACAAAATTGACTGCAAAAACAAGTCACCAGACAATACACACATTGCGACATAATAATGGACTTACCGATGCGGTGGTGCCAAGAGCTTTAGCGGCTTCCAGCCAATGTCCCAAGAGAAAATCTTCGTTTGAACCTAGCAACACATCCAGATCATTCAACAGGTTTTGAAACAGCTGAGTATTCTGCCTGTAACAAGACACAACCTCAAAACTATTTGGGACTAAATTAACTAGAAAAGGGATGTGATTTATAAAACATGGCATCGATATTACTTCAGTACTTATCTTTGAAATGAACACTTTTTTTGTTAACAGCAAAAAATATGGCAACCCAGCAAATTCAATATAATAAAAATTTATAATAAAGGAAATTATCCTCAGAGAAGGGGTATTAAACTGTATCACAATAAATTTGTATATTACTGAGCGGACTGAGGTGTGGGCTTTGTGCCGCTCGATAACTGGGACCATGAGTTCGAATCCCACTCAAGCCATGGATGTTTGTCCGCGTTTTTCTGTGTCGTGCTGTCCTGTGTACAGGTAGAGGCCTTGCGACGGGCCGATCAATCGTCCAAGGAGTCCTACCATCTGTCTAATAGATCAAAGCCAACAAAAGTTGAGACTTGCAGTGCTCAGGCACTTGAAGAACTGGTCGTTCCCAGTATCCAGTATTACAAGCCCCACAATAAATAGGATAATAGTTGTTGCAAGCTATTTTCAGAACTTCATGCAGTGTTTAAGTCTTTTATTTTGAAAAGACAGACCCAATACCATGGGCGGACATTTCCTTCCTCATGCTTGTATAATCTGAGCATACCGGAAGTTTGTCAAGTTGCCCTTCCTGAAAGCAGATACGATGATGTTGTGGAGGTCTCCGCCTAACACCTGCAAGGCCTGTCTCGTTACATCAACCAGGTCATGTCTATAGTTGGCAGCACTGTGAAACTGAGATGAAGCACTCAGCAGCTCATCCCAAGCAACGGCCAGTTCTGTAGTGTTGTACCACACCTGATGGGGAACACATCTTCTATTAGATTTACATCCTACAAGATTAACGCAGGAATACAAGCATCTATATGTTAGCAGTTCTCATATAGAAAGAAACACCAGTATTACCCACTGACGAAGCTCAAGGCTCGGCCGACGACAGATCACGTACTTCCCTCGTACTTTTCTCAATCCAGTGAAATTGTACACGCCAGACTGCAGACATAATATCATTTGTATCTGAATATGACTGTACTATATACATTTGGAAAAAATTGTACTTCAATTAAAAATCAGAAAACATTACTTAATAAGTTTACTTTCACATAATCACTATTAAATTAAAAACTACATCTATATCTGTGTCCAAGCATGATGTCATGAAATCATAAAGATAATATGGAGGTACAACTCCATGCATTTTTAACTTTCACAATGTATGAGTGTGAATGGTCGCTTTGCACTTCCCAGGAAAAACCACCCAGTACACATTAAGCAGGAGACTTGGTGGGTCCCAAAGATAGGACAGGCATTGTGAACAGAAAAATCCTGACATCTAATGGAAATGATCCAGCCCACAGTCAGTCTTTTCTTTGTATGCAACATTTCTTTTAGTGTTAAACAGTTGCAGACCTGACAAGAATGAAAAACTTCAAGGTCACGACCGACAGCATTCTGGTATTCGAAATATAGTTTAAAATATGAACATATCTAAACCACTAAATCGTTTGACCATTAACTTATAATTTCTGCTAATTTCTGTATACAAACAAATGACTTTACAGGAAAGTATGCATCACAAGGTCTTCCCAGACTTTCTTGCTGGTTATACTATTTAATATACAAAGCAGAAAGCTACCTTCAACAGCTGCCATGCCTTGTTTACATGATCATCTACTGTACCGTATCGTCTCCTGACGTAGGCAGAGAACCTGAAACAGACGCAATTATTCTGAAATAAACAATCACAAAAAGTTCATTTGTGTTCCAAGAAAAAAACAAATCCTTAAACACAGAGGGCAGCGACCATGAACTAAAGGTAACACCAGCGTTTGGGAGACATAAGTGTGAAATCCTGTGGATTACTTTGGTGAGAAAATGGCAACTTGTAAGACCAGAAAGTAGATTAGAAAATGACAATAAGAAGACAGGAAAACAGACATACAGGTTTAGAGATGGATTGAACTGGGCAAAGATCATGTACAATAGCAGAATTAAATGTTGGGTATTAGAACCTTCAGGCCATTTTACTGAATAGATACAAACACAAACTATATTGTCCAGAGGAGTTCTATGAGCAGAGGCTTACCATTCTGTGAGGTTCGCAGGCTCTGCCCTCCATGCCATCTCATTCATCAGGTCATACACCACATAGTTCTGATTGATGCCTTCAGGTGTCAGACCAGTGCCTATCATTGTGCCATTCTCCAAACTTCGGCCATCAAACACACCCTGGGAGAAAGAATATTAACGGAAGTCAAACCCCTGTCATAATTTTGTCCAAGAGCAAAATAACAACAACAGGAACATCAGAAAAAACAATAACAATGTTTAAAGCCCACTTTATTCTCACTTAAATGTGGTCCTACAAATGTTCCAAAAACCCAAAGGCAGACATCAGCAGGCAACAGAGATGAGACTTTTAAAAAGTACAGGACAAACAAATGCGAAGAGAATAATACATTAAACAAATAAAGATGCCTTGAAAAGTAAATTAAAAATAAAAGAAGAAAACAATACAAAGAATCTTATAAATGCAAAAGTAAAAGGAACATTAACGCTGATATTTTGTCACCAAGTTTTTTTTTTTTTGTAACAGCCTGATATTTTGTCACCAAGTTTTTTTTTGTAACAGTATTCAACACAAAATTCTATCTAAATTCTGGACAGATATCAGAACATAAATATTTATCAGATACCCCGCAAGTCCTTACTGTACACTTGTAGATAATTTTAGCTCTGTGCGGACAATATCTACTTCTTCTTCCTGGGACTTAAACCTATTCTTCCATTCCCTGTTCCCATACTCTGCCAAATTTCGTCTGCTTCATAAATCCCTTTAATCACCGTACTTTTGGCGACAAAACCACAAACAACCATTTCAGAAGCAACAATATTTACCATGTTAATATTTTCTACTGATCCGTACAGACCAAGGGTACCACCAAAATTATGCAGCATGCACCAGATAAAAGGCTGTCCATAGTATGAGTGTAGTCTCTTGTACTGTGGGTACAATTCTGATTGCAGATCGAGGATGATCATCCGGCCCTGCAAGCACAGATTGTACTGAGATAATTATTCATTTGTGTAACAACGTTTTATTTTCTGTACTGGTTAAGTAGTGCTGATAGTAGGATGATCTGGGACTGAAGTATTGGAAAAGACAAAATGACCATGGCCTATTTTAAGTCATTCACAAAAATTTTCCTGAAAGCAACTAAGGAAAAACTACAATGAAACCTCAGCCATGATAGCCTGTCTTCATATCAAGTTTTGAACCCAGATCATCCCAGATATTACTGAACTGCAAAATTTGGTACCACATGTATGGGGAACAGCACCATTCACTCCTAACCTTCACCACAATGTGTAATCAGAAAGTAAAGTAAGCATTCTTCCTGAAGCAACCCACTGAATCTTGAATAAGAAAAATTCATCATAAAATGACTTTCATCCCAATTACATTCGCATGTAACTAACTAACTAACTAAACCAACTAGCTGGCTTACCGAACACAAAGGTTCATCACCGAATTAACCAAAGCCTTCCACCGGACCCTGTCCTGGGCCAGCAAAATCCAGTCTCCCTCGACTCCTATCTCCCATAGATCCCGCCTGAGATTATCCTCCCATCTACGTCTAGGTCTCTCCAGAGGTCTCTTCCCCTCAGGCTTCCCAAATAGTGGACCCAACCAAACAGATAGCTTACCGAACTCGAAGATTCATCACTGAATTAACCAAAGCCTTCCACCGGACCCTGTCCTGGGCCAGCAAAATCCAGTCTCCCTCGACTCCTATCTCCCATAGATCCCGCCTGAGATTATCCTCCCATCTACGTCTAGGTCTCCCCAGCGGTCTCTTCCCCTCAGGCTACCCGGAGCACACCTCTTGTCCCATCCATGCGATTACATTCGCATGTAACAAGATAAAAATATCTGTCTGGTCCTTAATCTGATTAGTCCCATAACAAATGATCAGATGATGTACTCACAATCGGGACGGCTGAGATGAATGCCTTAACCTTGTCTGTTGTCCAAAAGATCACGTCATGAACGAACACCCAGTTCTGCTTCAGCCTTCAACAAACAGTCATGAACCACTTATCAACTTCCACAAAAATGTCCGTGTCTCGTACAATCAAACTAAACATGTTTATTGCCAGAACACTTTTAGATACACAACACCATATCCAGCAGCTTGGGGATCTGCTACTCTAGGGTTTAGGGGCCTTCTGTATCAGACTTATCGCTAGATTCTAACAGCACACACTATGCAAAACTGCATGCAAGAATGACTGTGATAATTTCAAAAGATGAAGAAGGAAGTAGTCACAGCCTATTTTAACCTTTCAGCGTCGAATGCTGCACAGTGAATGTTACACTGCTGCCATCTAATGTAGCACAGAAACATCCAGTGCATGCACACAAGAATACCCCTTTACGCGTCAGTCATGTAAATAGGCTTTAATTTATTTATACATATACTATTTACATAGCAATCAAGATGGCAGTCCAGACAACTGTTTGGCATTTGTATCAACTAGACCTATTGAATTTTTCTGAATAAATTAAAATTTGTCAATTTTAAATTGTGTCGACTAATAAAATGGATGCACTACCAGCAATTTGGGGCCTCAGATTTAAATATCCATGCAAAGAATTGGTGAAGTAACGACACAACATTTGCTTGGAGAGACTGAAGAAAAGTATAAAAATGAGGTCAGATGGTCCGTGAATTGTATTTTGAACTGGGGATTTCCTGAAAATGAAACAACGCCACGAAACTTCACTGACAGACAACTAGATACTAGATGCATCCTTCCTTGTAAAGATTTACTTACCACACTGCACTGGGGTCCACATCAGTCATAGCTGAGAAGACAGCACTGCTAACCGCAGAGAGGTACGTCACATTCGAAGTGTGCGGTGTCATTTCATTGAAAGTGTCACAGCTGTAAACATGATTTGTACCAAACTCTGCAACCAGCTGTAATCAGAACAGGTAAACAATCAGACAACAAACTCTGTGTTACTGAATGATTCACGGACACTTGACAGTAATACACACGATGAAGACAGTACCGTGCAGCAGCCGACAGATCTAAAACCCATGACAAAATGTGAACTATGAGTGTACCTGCTCCTGAGAACAATCCCTTCCTTATGCTAAGTCACACTTTCTCCCCGCTGCTGTCAAATCATGACTGAGTGATTTGTATGGAGGATAACACATTAACATGTTGAACAAATTTGTTCACGGTGGGAAAATAAAACAAATTTGCAAAAGTGTGAACTGTAAAACTATCATAAGATCCAATATAAGTACAACGTGGCCACCCTATTAACCTGGCGATACCGACATTTATTTACTAGAGAAGGTGGGGGAGTGACTTCCTAATCCATGAAAACAAACACAGAGCTCTAATCCATACCATGATTATTGCTCCTATATCATATGCATTTATGGAATACAAAAGTACATCACACTGCATAAGACTGGAGGCTTTCAACTCGTTCGTCCGAAGAAAAAAGTATTAATTTTGAACTCACTTCTGATATAAACATGTTGCCAACTGTCTTAAACATAGGGTCAGTGGGCTCAAGAAGGTAGGGACTGAAACACAAAACATACAGACGTAAGAACAGACAGATCTTCACCAGCAACACGATGGTCTATCAATTAAACCCTGCTTAAGAACGTATCTTCCCTGACCTACTTAACAACTTAAACATTTAAAATATACGAGTGTACAGTTTTAACCATTCTTTAAATCATATTTCAATATTATTCTGTCCTAAAAACCAAGAGGGAATCTTGAAACTGGGTACAGAGGAGTATAAAACATATTTGATGATCCATATTGTAATCTCACATGTACAGAATATAATATTCAAGAAACCTGACTTACTCCTCAGAATATTAAACTGAATCACTCACTGGACCCCAGCAAACTAAAAACTATGCAAACAAACAAATTAATAAATACATACCAGCAGTATTCATCAGAGAAATGGTTCCAGTCTGCCATGAGGGTCAACGAAGTGTTCGGGTACACACTATAACATTGAATAAAACCACTGTATAATAATAAAACACTAAACTTCCACTCAGAATTTTCCTGGATTGTTTTCAAATAACAGTAAAAATCACATTCCCGCAAACAAAGAAAGAAGACAGCAGAGAATGAATAAGTAAGAAAACAGTAAGAAATATAGTTTATGTTAAGCAGCTAAAAGAAACAATGAAAAAGGCTATTCATGTTGTTCGGCATGTACTGGGTGGCACAAATACATGAACTGACTAAAGATATTGCAAAACTGAATGGCCCTACAGTTTTGACAAAACTCTTGTAAACTGTCCAGAACATATCTAAGTGTGTGCACAAAACATTTATCCAGACTGGTTGCCTCATTAAATGGACAAATATTTTCCATCTTTAATGTTAAGAACAGATATTAATTTAATAACAGGTTTTACCTTCATCAATGTTGGACGATGCCACAGTTTATGAGACAAAAGAAGGTAGTTTCCATCAGCCAATCAACTAGTGGTGTTCTTGCCTCACACACATTTAACACAAATATAAAAATACCTATTTTTAATTCGTTTTTTTAATATCACTTTTGCTCCGCCTGGCACATGGACAGAACATGGAAGTATACCATACAGGAGAACAGGAAATGAAACCTAGAGGAGGAAGAGACCCACACAAATCTGAGACGAAGGGTATTCAGAACATGCTGAAAATAAACAGGATGAATAGGGTAAATATCCAAGCCAAAGAATAGAAAAGGCAAAAGCTCTTTGTAACATCTCCGAACCATTCAACAGAAGAAGATAATATAAGGAAATAGAAATAAATTAGTTAGTACTGTAATGAAATTTAGAAGAAACTAACTAGCAAACTAATTAAAATATAATACATGATTGTGAGTTACCGTTTAAATGCTTGCGCCACATGACCAGCAAATGCGGGAAGAACAGGTACGATTCCCAACTCTCTCATGCGCGCCAGAATCCTGTGCTGCAGAGCCAATGACTGACTGTGCCATGAGTTGGGGAGTGGACCACCAAAACCTCGCATATTACCCATCCGCAACCTGCAGAAGACATAACCAGTGAATGGTTTATTTATATAGTTCCCATTGATCTGAATGGTAGTCCTCTGGGATGTGATGCCTTGCGGATATGTAGGTGGGTACAAAGGTTTCAGAGGAACATGCTGCCTGCATCTTCAAAGCCAAAGCCCCGAGGCATCTCCCATGAAAGCAACTTCTTGTCCAACAAATCAGCTATCAATTTCCATTAAATACTACGGAATAAGTTATATAAATAACAGTTTTGCTGACAAACAAATGCAAAACAGATTTAAGACAACATAATACCAACAGTGTAACACCCAGACTAAAAATGAAACTCATTAGATTATCCTCACCATGCGAGGAATGCAGGGCCACTCAAGTGCCTGCTGATGTCTGTCTGTGTGAGGTTCAGCTTCAGGTACACACGCTGCCAGATTGCCTCCTGCCCAGTGAATGCCAAGGCCAGATTTATTCCATTGAGGGCCATCCAGTCAATCTCCCTCTCCCAACGCGGCCAGCCCCACCACACAAAGCTGTAGCTCGTGGTGCACACATTCTGATAATATCGGAACCTGGTCAGCACCAAACTCTTACTTGTAAAATTTTAGGTTTTTCACTGTGATGAGGATGTTGATGTACTTTTGGGTTCTGGTGTTCTGTGGACTGGTTGGTAGACATGCCAGAACCCCAGAACCCAAAATAACACAATCAGGAAACTCTTACATATCAGCAGAACTATGAATCATTATATGTCGAGTGTGCAAACTATTTAAAACAATTAACTAAAAAACACTTTCTACTCATTTGCATACAGAAACTCTGCCATAACTGAATATTAATTCATAAATGCATATATTCATTGTTTGTTTAACAAAGCTGTCAGTAACTTAGACTTACAGAGTTGAACAATACAATTAATAAATATAAACTGCAAAGAATATGGAAGGAGGTGATCATGGTCAAGATACTACACTGCCATTTGCCCGGAGGGACTGAGGGAAAACCTCAATCAGGACAGCGGCAAGATATAACCTAGAACCTTCCAGTTACGAAGCACACGTGCCAGCCACTTAATTAAAACATTCAATAAGTGAACAAACCTATGTAAATCTAACGATTAATTAATATGCTAATTAAATACCAACCAGTAGTTAAGTTTGTAAGGAACAGAGGTATCGTTAAAAATCAAAGAAACACAGCCCACTCTTTATTTGAGTGACACCATTTTTGGCAAACACGTAACATAATAAAGTACTATTTACTTGGAAGAAATTTAACACAGCCTCAAATAGGCAGTACTAATCACCTATCAACTGATGTGACGGTAATGTTCACAGGTGGTAATTTCTCAGGAAGAGACAGCTGGTCAGAATCCCACGAAACGTGACAGAAGCAGTAGTACTTCAGATAGTGATGGAAACCCCAGACTGCAGCAACGCCACTTGTTCCCACAAGGTTCACCCTGTCTTGACCATTTTCTTTCAAAACCTGCAACCCATATCAAAAATCTCAGTAATCCAGACTGCGATGCCATGTCCTATAGTCATTAAAGACTTTAAATTTACCCTCCGCACATCATGGCTTACACGTAATTGAGCTGGCTGTGGATTTCCTGACATACCATGAACTCCAGTTAGTCAGTCAGATGCCCCACAGTACAAGGGTTTAAATACCCTTTTATAATACAACAGATGTTAAAAATGTTCTGATCACTGATTCTTGTGACTTCTATAGAAAACAATAATTAATCAACTTGTTTGGTTTGGTCTCACATTATGCTACCTTAAAGGTGTCCTTCCCAACAGGTCCCAACCTGGGATCTACTGTCACTTGGAACAGTTCAGCTTTATCTGGTATAAGGCGCTTGATGACTCCAGTCGCAGCTTGTGCCTGAATCTGAGGACTTGCCTGTGCCTTCAGGTGTCCAAGAGTAGAATGGAAACCTGTGCAAGTTTTAGCATCTATCCGTATAGCAGGCAAGTTTTGGTTAGTTGACAATCATTTTGTGGTATAAATATGGACAGACGTACATATTTACAGAAATGCAATATTTTTATTAGGTATGCTCAATAATTCACTCTCCGCTTCAGTAGGTCCTGGGTTCAAAACAAGGGTCAGAGATCGAATATCTGAGTTGAAGTTTTTCGTGGGTAACCCCCCACCACCAAACGGGAAATCATAGGATTTTAAACTAAATATAGCATATGTAGAGAAAGGAAAACATGGTGTTTCCAGAACGTAAATAATGACTCTCACTTACCATCGCCAAAAATGCACACAAAACAACACAGCAACACGAAAGTTAATAATACTGATGTCTTGAAAACCTGCATGGTATAAGTACTACTTTACACTATAAATGCATTAATAATTCGGGTCTATAGCAGTTGTCTGCAATCAATAAAGTACACAATCATAATGTTGCAGACTGAAAAATAGGGAAAACAAAATTAAATGAGGTGAGGAATTCTACTAAAATGTTGCTTCATGGACAATAATTTCCCACTTTGACGTTCACCCTTTCTTGGAAAATAGCGCAACTCTGATCTTCATACACATGATTATTATGGTATACTTAAATGATTAGTAACATTACGACATTAAAACCATAAACTCTTTTACTACTGCAGGTCCACCAACGGTAATGAAATAAAACATGAAACCAGTCGAGAATCAGATATTTGATATAGTGGAGGGGTTTTTCGTCGTCATTTCATATATTCCAAATATTTACATATCCAAACAAGACAACTTATGATGGCCCCATCCTATTAAAACGAATATGGGTCCACAATCAGATAACTGTAGTACCTTCCTGTTACATTTTCGTAAAATTCATACTTATTTTTTCGTGGTGTAGGGGTTTGCTGCCTCTAGAATTACGAAACAAGAACATTATTTTTTGGGTTTTAAACCATATCATATGTAATAACACGTCAAACTTTTTCATGTAGGAAAAGGAGATTGAAACTCTGGTACTAACTACATGGGCATGGGCAGTCAATCATTTTACCACAAAGTTTAAATCAGTGTTAATCATTACCATAATGGCGAGTCTTCTGAGGTGTTGTCCCATGCAGTCTCATAGAAATTCAGAAATGCTTACTGCCACCATCAGTATGAAGAAGCAAGCACTTCTGAAATGTTGGTCAATTTCCAGGATACACAGCACACCATCCCAGAAGTCTTCTTCATATTCATTACCGCCAGACCTCACAAGTGTATTCTTAACAAGGTCAGTACAACCAATCGCAGACACCAGAACAATCTTAGGTTCAACTTCAAGGTTTTCTCCACCCAAATCAAAGTCTATCATAGCTACTTCCAAACCAAGAAAATACTTGAGAATTAAAACCATACAAGAAACAAACTCAAAAAATACTTCACAAGTTATAAGTCTTCCTTCAGCAGCAGTGCTTATCAGAACCAGTCGAATCATACCTTTAACAAGCAACCTCACATATATTACAGTAATTTATAAACGAATTCTTTTCATCACCTTTTGCATGTTTAACATCTGCAAACCAAAATCCTAATTTTAATCACCTTGACAACATTTAAAGTAGAATGCTCTTAATTCTTCTTCCATCTTTTACATCCAAAAAATCTCGCGAAGTTACACTTTATGAAACTAATATGCATCCTCCCTTCAGAGACAAGCCAGAATACCCACCTTATGCATTTTATAACAAAGTTCTGAAAGAAAAACAATGTGAGATTGTAAGATTTGAGGTTTTCACAGCGTTGAGTATGAAGATTTCTTTCTTCTGGGTTGTTGCGCTGTGAACTCTGGTCGATGCAAACAGTTTCAGAGGTCATCTGGCCCTGACGACGGAGGCAGTACCTCTGAAACGTTGGTTAACGTCGACCAGACTACACAGCGCAATAACCCAGGAGACATAAATCTTGAATGTGAGATTGATAAAAACCATGCAACATTGGATAATAAAACATTACTCCAATAGAAAAATATGATGGAAAAAACAAACAAGACTGCAAACCAAAGCAATGGCAGCAGCCAATTCAGAATAGAAAAAGTGGATACATCTTTACACAACCAAGTATTTCCATGAAATTTCTGGTAGTAAGGAAAAAAATGCACACAAATCTCACACTGTTTCAAACAGATGTCTTCTCATCAAAACATTCAATTAACAGGAAGGATATAGGGGAAAAATAAAACACTGTAATCTGTCCGAAGTTTTTATTCTGTAACCCCTTAAATGATGCAGTACTTCTTCAAATAAAGCCAGTGGCGTAGACAATCAAACAATGAAGCAGGCATGTTGGGTGCATACAGTATAACATTCTCCTCTCATTTTTCTGATCATGTACATGGATGAATCAGAGCCTTCACAGGCCACATTAAAATGCAAATTTGCCCCCTTCCCTCCCAGCTTCTCTCAAAGCACACACCATCCAGTGTTCAGTCATGGGTAGATTTCAAATGTAATGATATATAATTTTTTTTGTAACTGATTAAATACTTTGTACACCGCACCTAACTTCATGAACATTTACAATTTATCCAAATATTGAGTAAGATCTGGAAGACCTTCCTTCAGTCCCTTCCTTTTGCGGGTTTCCTACAAAACAAAAGAAACTGTAATTAATTCTAAGCACAAGTTGAACAGAACAGTCCACATCCACAATTATTCGTAATTACATATAGCCTCCTCAGTTGGCCGTTCTTGTTCATCAATTATTCAGAACAGGTCTGTGAACACGAACAATCATCATCAGAAGCACAAACAAAATATATGACTGAAAAAGTACATATTATGCAAACCAAAAAAACACATTTCCAGCTTACTACACAAAGGCCTGGTTAATAAATGATATACGATTTAGTGAAGTGGTGTGATGCCAAACACATCAAATTCTTAGATAAACTTTCACACGAGTAAATTCTTTTTTGATATAACGACCGTTTGTTTTGTGTAAAACAATCAGGACAGAAGAAATTTGCTATGGCAGAGCAACAAGTGATGAACGGTTTAAAAGTCACAGAAGTGTGTCTATACTCTACACTGACGTGGAGTACAAAGAAGGAAACGCAAACATTAAAATATACAGCAACAAGAAATGTTCAAATTTACACCTAACACTCACTTGTCGATCATCAGGGTTGTATCCCTTTGTGGTCTTGCAGGTAGCTTACCAATGTTTTGGCAGAATTTTGACACAATCCACGCGGCCTCCACCGCCAAAAGAACCTCAATCGAAAACAACTTTCCCTTATTTTCGCTCACGAGCTCACTTTCGAGTTTACTCGTTACTCAATCCCCATTCCGCCTGCTTTCTCGTTGCAATAGTTTAGCACATTGCAATAAGCTTACCTGTACAACAATATAGGGCTTTGTGCTGGCATCCAGTGGGTCACCAGGCAAGACCTGCCAGTGGTCGAACACACACTGTGGGAATGCTTGTCCACCTGTATTGCTACGCAGATCTGCTGTGAAGCCTATGAAAAAAGGGTAGCACAAGAGTGAGTTTTCTCCTACATGAAAACACCGACGGTTTGTTACACCAAAGTACACACTATAACTGAAAAATTATGTGGTTACTTCATTATATACCGCAAGGTTTATGGTTACATTGATTTTAATGTATATACAAATGTTCATCAAACTTTAAGTAATGTTCGGGCCAAAGTAGTGCGCACAATCTATATTCAAAAAATAACATGACACTTACCAAATGATTCATTCACAGGCAAGAAAGCCTTAACTACAAACATGGGTGTTCCTGCCACCTGCATTTCTTCAAACACGTGTCCTCTTCGTCGGTTCAACACGCCATAGATACCACCAACAGCGACTTCTGGACACTAACAAGCAAAGGACAGGAAAATTTCCTGTTTTAATACTGTTCACAAAATCTTGAAATTTAACAGCAGCGAGCCAACAGCAATTATGATCATAAAGAAAACACTAGATTAACATCTCAAAATCCAAGAATCTCACGTTTTTGAAGACCTAGATGTCTTTTTTTTATAAAGGGGAAATGGTTAAGAGCCTCCTCTATCAAAACATCAAAATTTTATCTCATTTCAATGCAGCAATTCTTAGTACAAACTGAATTCCACCCACCTGAATCTCACACAAATAAACTGGTTCCATGAGTCGGGGCTGGGCTGTGAGGATACAAGCATACAAGCAGCGTCGAGTTGTAGGAATGATCTGACCGCCACCTCTGTGGATGGCATCTGTGTGCAGCGTCACATCATAAATGTTGAAGCGTACGCCACGCATGTTCTCCTCTGCCAGAACCCCCTATAACATCAACACACAGTTAAACCCAAAAACATACCCAAATGCTATTAAATATCTTTATACAATTTTTAAAGTGCTTCCTCACACCATGTTTAAAATCAGTACTGTGTCACATTTAAATACAAAGAGAAAATGGTAGAAGCTCCATACCATTTATCGACATTAAACGTCAAGGTCACGATTTTCAACGCAACATTCAGCAAAAAAATTTGGAATAATGACATTAATGGAATGGAGTTATATATCAATTAAAAATTAACCACATTTGGTTTTCAACATTTCCATTTTAATGACCCACCAAACATTTACAATAAACATTCAAGGCAGATAACAACTAATTACCTCTTTGGTTGCCCACTGGAACCCAGCCACAACCGAGTCCTTGATTTCATTCAGGTACTGGACACCCTTCGTGCAGTCAAGGAGAAGGTTCGGACCTGTACCGTCAGGACCAAAGGCCCAGATCTTACGGGCTTCTGTGACGTCATATTCGTATTTTTCACCCAGGTAGCGAGCCCGTGCCTTGAACTCATCACGTGGGTTCACCTCTCCCTGTTTCAACACACAACCAAGTTAAAAGCTCAGTACGACGACTGCAAAATAAAGAACTTTACACTTGAGATAGACTTGCAAAAAGTACTTACCCCATCAATATCTTCAGCTAGACCATCAGGCATGGGCTGTGCCTTCATAAAGAGACGGTTGTGTTTGTTGGGCGACTTTGAGAGACACATTTGGTCAGACTCTTCAGATACCGTCTCACGATACGATACAACAGGATCAGATTTCTTGAGAGGAATGCAAGCATGGTCTTCTTCCAAATCCTAGAACAGGGTTCATAAGAACATCAGCAATATATATATATATATACTCAAATTTAGACCACCAATTCAAAAAAACCTGCAGCCTTTCAAATCAACAGCAAAATTCAGTTTCATAATCAGAAGCTGCGAATCATATGTAAACCAAACAAATTATGTGGCCAAAGGTTTGTACTCCTGCTACATACCCGAGAAGTCACGGTTAAAATATCTGCCCAGAAAAGTTTTTAAATGATTCCCCTTACTCTGTTCAGTCAAATGCTGTAGTAGTATCTAAATTAGGCCATGAGACTCCTTCCAATTCATTAATTATTCATCTTATTGCCTGACGCTACGCGGTTCAAGCCGACAGCAGGGTTAAATATACCAAAAATAAAACCTCACGCGAAGAGCAGAAAGAGGCATCTGATTAAACCAGACTCCGGGAAATACATTCAAATAACATTTAACACAAAAGACTGATAACAGCCAAAGTTTTAAGCATTAGAAAATTTCAACAACAAAGGTGAAACAAAATTTAAATTAATGCAGAGCTTCTTCAGTTGGGCTTTCAATCTTTCATAATTATTCAGAACAGGTCTGTGAATAAAAGAACATCATCATCAGAAGCTCAATAAATATGAAAGTATACTGTACTCAAGTCATCAATACGATCAGGAGGAACGCAAGAGCAATACAAACCTTCAAACCCCTTTCAACAAAAATAATTAAACAACCTTCGCATCCAACATTAACCAGCTTCAATAACTTTTTAGCAAAATTTAAGGAAATTTTTTACAAAATCCTGAAAATTTAGTGCTAAATGGTATAAGTAAACAAATTATTGAACACAATATCAGCGAAGCTGCAGAGAATATACGACCTAGAAACAGACTTTACAGATTCAACACAACTGCACCAATACTGTACTCGCCTTCAGACAAATCTCCAAATGCAATTCACCAGCACCAGCGATGATGTGTTCGCCAGACTCCTCAATTATGCACTGAACCATAGGATCAGATTTTGCCAGACGTTTCAGACCTATAAATGAATAATGTATCAGTATACTATTCTATAACCCGCAACAGTGCGGAATTGAACGTGACGAAACTTGTGCCCATCACTTTCGGCACACCGAAAGACATTTTGCTGGCCTCTGGTGCTTCCTAGATGGACATTTTCTTTACCCAAATTTAAATACTGGCACTTAACCACTCCACATGCCAAAGCGGAAAGTGTGGCGATTTGGGGTTAAACTTCAGAAACAAAAGTTTTAACTATGCATATTTCATGTAACAGTAACACAAGGTTTAACAAGGAATAGCTAAATGATATCACATCACAAATTAGAAGTTCACAGATGATTAAACAACTTTAAAATCTGAAAATCGACTAATGAAGATTAAAAAATCAAATCCAACGTAAAAAAATACCTTCTACTAGTTTCGGCAGATCGGCAGGGTTCTTGGGCTCCACGGCAACTCGCACGACAGGGGACACACTGAACTTCATTACGCGCATATTGTGGGCATCCTTGAACGTTGTGATGGTACCAGTTTTCACCAAAAACTGATCCACACCGACCAATCCACAGATGTTACCTGGAGAATACAAATTGCACAGGACTCTTGCAAGACAATTTACATAGCAATTTCACTCAATCCTGCAAAACTGACCCAAACACTAAGTTGAAAGCAACAAAAAGTATAATTGTATCCATTACTTTCGGCACACCACAAAACATCGAGTTAGGCGGTGCTTCCTAGCTGGATATTTATTTACCCAAAATATAAGCACTGGCACTTGCGATCTCCATAAAAGGAGATGAAGCGTGGCGTTTTGGGAAACCTATCGCTTTCAAAGATGTACATGAGGCTTACCACTAGGGACATCCTCAATGGCCTCGACGTAACGCCCCATCATCAGAATAGTTCGCTGGATGGCCTTTTCGTATAGATCCTCTTTCTTGCCTGGGACATAATTTGGGCCCATGATACGGGCCTTCATTCCTGTTGCAACCTACAAAAAATATGCGAAAGGCATTCAAAGATTTGATACAATAAATTCTATTTTTACTTGGTACTTCACAAAAAACAGAATTAAGAAACATTTAAAATTGACATTAATTAGGTTAAAATGGATTCTAATCAGGTACTGCGAGGGCTTAGCACTCCTTGGAACTTCTCTTTCCAAGTATTCCAATTTTCGCTCTTACAGAACCGGACAGTATTTCAGTGCTCATCCTGTACAATATGAGCAACAAATGACAAAATTCATTCCAATTCCACAACAGGCCATTCACAATATAATGCGTACAAATTATTTTCTTGTATGTTCCCCTATTCAGGTTGCACATTGCGGTACCATGGCAACCAAAACCAAAGAACAAATTACTCTCCCATAGGTAAAGTGCAATGTCTCCATCAAACAGGCAACATTCCAAAAACCCATGGCAAAACCAAAAAACTTCACTCGGCGCCTGCCAGAATAAATAAGGCGAGATACCGAGTACACAAATCACTTCATAGCCCTTCCATATATTAGATGCGACCAATTAGATGAATGCACTTCAAAATGCCACTCAAAACAAATTCCTCACCTTTCCGGAGAAGACGCGACCAAAAGCATAGAATCGTCCCTTGTCGGAAGTAGGCACCATCTTAGAGATATACATCATTAGTGGAGCATTGGGGTCGCAATTCTAGAAGAAAGCATAGAATACGTTTCGTTAAAATGACTGACGAGGAGAAACCATCGAGAATACTCAGGCTGCATGGGAGAATATTAAAATATTAGAAGGGTGTAGACGCCTTGCGACAGGCTCATCCCACGTCCGAGGAGTCCTACAGAATGTCCATACATCAAGCCAACTTGAAAAAAGGGTTGGGGACATGTAACAGGGTACCGGAAAATGTATAAACATCTGGCTTTGGATAGGTGGCAGGCTCTTGCGAGTATAGTAACGAACATTACACGAGTTGCGTAAGAGGTAGGTAATATCACCAGTTGATCTGATAAGATTAAAAATGCATATTCACCGTGAGCAGACTCGTTCAGCCAAACAGTTTTGTCTGTAACATGGATGGTTTCAAGAAATACCACACCACATGGCTTCAATTAATTTTTTCAGTAAAAAAAATTGACACGTGAAGAGACAATTCTTTAAAATAATAGCCACGTGGTGTTGACGTGCACACGCAAACAGAATAAAGTGAAAAAGTTCAATTTTCTACAGACCTTAACGCCAATAGCCGCCTCATCATCGAGTGGTCCTTCATACAACATCTCCATACGGTACTTCTGCGCTACGACGGGCGACGGTAAGTGAATGGCAATCATCTGAAGCAAAGCTTCACCAGCCGGCAGCCATGATCTCATCACAACCTACAGCGAAAATGACATTAAGAACCAGCGAACAGACCAATCATTTCAACACGCAGAAACAAATTTCATCTTCGCATTTCAATACCAAGACTGCGCTCTCATCACCTTAAGAAGTGCCTTTCCGTCCTTGTCCTTGTCCTCGGCTTTAAGCTCGATGTTCAGCTTCAGCATCAGATTAGCAGCTTCCTCCTTTTTGTAGTTCATTATGCTATCGAACACCTACGACAAAACAATGCGTCAATCAAACAAGCCACGCCTGCTTGGTATCTGGTCTAAATCTCGACCCACGGACCAGTTATCATCGTGGAACGCGGTCTTCCTTCATTACTCCAGCCAAGCAGCGGAAAATCACCGAAAAATAAACCACTAATCTTCCTTCCACATCATTCAAAATCACTCCGCCATTTGAAAAAGCACCAATAAGGAATACAAGAATCAAGATGTAAAGCCGTCCCACTACGCGGCATGCAGGTCGTATGGAGGGAGTGGAGGTATAGCTCCTACTCATTCTTGACCTTGGCACGAGATGGGAGTGAGCCGGCCACGCTTTCCCCCCGGGAAAGGACCCCGGTACCCATTGGATACGAGGATGGGTGGGCCCCAGAGCTGGTCTGGACGCAGAGGCCCCGTCGTCCGGCCCGTAGCCAGTCACTATACTGACTGAACTATCCCGACTCCCAGATTCGGAATGCGAAAAAAACAAAAAATACTTACCTTGTAAATAGGATCCAAGACATACATACAGAAGGATCTTTTGTTATCGTCTTCCTTCTGCTTTGACCATTTCTTGGTCTTGGCATTGAAAAAGTTTTCTCCCCAAAGCCTGAAAAATTAATATCGCCACTTTTTAAAGTACAGTCAATAAAAATCAGAATAAGGAAATGTACGCGATTAAATATTTGCCGGGTGTCAGAAGTTCGTCTTCCACGCAACCAGTGCTCCGTAAATATTCATCCACTCTTTATCCGGGCGCTGGTTTCAGCTAACCAATGTCATCTGTTTTCATGTACGTTAACTACGACCTCCAATTTGAAAATAATGTTAGCATCTACACTTTAAAGCAAGTGATCTCACCTCTTCATAAGCTTTACAACGTCAATCTTAAACTTCTCAGCGTACATCTCGGCAAACTGCTTGAGGGTAAAAGCCCAGCCATGCAGACCAGAGCCAAAACCCACACTACCCTTGCTCGGGTCCACCTGTGAACATGAAAATCCAAAAAGCAGCTCAAAATTTAAAGTTTAAAGTTTAATTAGCTCAAAAGTCTATACAGAGCAATGAAAACAAAACGTTTGTCTGTCGAGGGTGATTAAATGTTATAATAATAATATACGCCACACCAAAATCTAAATAAAATACAGTAAACTTGGAAGCAGTCACATTCTTCTAGAAAGGAACTCCTTCAAATAAAAGAATTACCGAAACGCATGTCAAAATCTACTTTTTTCTCCATCTACAGGCAATTAATTAAAACAACCACAGAACACGCCAGAACCGCGCAAACATCGTGTCACTTACCCTCACTTCTCCCATGGGCCCAGAATCGTCGCTGTAAGTGGCAATGATCACGTTGACATTCTCGACGATACGCTGGAAGGTCTGGTACAGTTCCTCGGCCTCAAGCTGCAACTCCAGCAGTGCTCGGTCCATCTTGTTCATGAACAGTACCGGCTTGATTCGCTCGGCGATGGCCTGCCGCAGCACAGTTTCGGTCTGAACGCACACACCTGGCAAACATCCGGTCGTTAGCCGAGCACGACACGAAAGCAAGACGAAACCTCAACCCTTTTTACTACGATCCTCATGAGTGCCAGGTTCAAGATACCACTTTGCTAAATCCTGCATGTTCAGCCTAGAAATGAACCTGGGTCCCCAAAATGAGGTAACATTTACATTCCTTACCCACCCACCATTTATTTTACTCCTTGTAATTAACTTTTAAAACTTTCTACGATAAGAAAATGAGAACTGAATATAATTACAGACATACACAGAGATTTCTATCGAGGGAAAATTGACGTAAATTATCTTATCAACTATTAATTTCCCTTTTCAGCCACTCCATAATTAAATGATCATAAATATGTTGCATCTACATCTTTACTACCGCCACTGGACATAAAGATAGAGGTCCCGCAGTAGCATATCGATGAATTTGCATTTGCTCTCCTTCCATTTGCACTGCCGCCACCGTCCAAGTCTGCGACAAGGCGAACCCTGCCTACAAACTACAGTACGACCCTTTGTGTGCTGGAAGGGACTTTCAGTATGTCAATGCCTTGGTTCTACGCTGACATGACATTTAATTGCCCATATGTCAACCATCGATGAACATTACTTGAAGGAGCGTCACAGAACGCATCTCACCTGATACACAATCTACCACAACGAGAGCTCCATCAGTAACACGCAAGGCAGCCGTCACTTCACTAGAGAAATCCACGTGTCCAGGAGAGTCAATCAAATTAATCAAAAATCCTTTCTCTCCCTTGTCACGCTGATCGGGGTTCGTGATAAACACCAGATCCTTGTCATCCAGTTCGAAATACATGGAGATGGCCCTAAAAGCAGTAAATTACATCACTGCCTTAATGTTAACCCCAGAGAAAATCACAAATCACTAATGCAAAGTTGTATATTTATTACAGACTGCATTCTGATACTGGGAACGACCCTTTTCGTTGGCTCGATCTATAGACATTCGGTAGGACCCCTCGGACGAGGGATTGGCCCGTCGCAAGGCCTCTACCTGTACACAGGACAGCACAACACAGAAAAACGCGGACAAACTTCCATGGCTTGAGTGGGGTTCGAACCCACGGTCCCAGCGACAAACGGCACAAGGCCAACGCCTCAGACCGCTTGGCCACTGCGGACCCCATGCATTCTTATATCTGTTTTAAAATTGCAATTAAATTAACTTTTACTTTCTGAGAGCTTAAGGTGTCATTACATATGAAACACTACATCTGTTGTAATGTTGGTATGTCGGTCCAAAGGTGCCATTTCCCATGAACCAGTCTCTACAGTTCATTTTCAATCAAAAACATGCTACAGTGCCTCAAATTTTTTCTGTGGCAAAATCACACGCACTCACAATGAAAACACAGGGAAGTCTTCAAAATAGTTAATAACAATTCTGAATTAATTATGGTATGACCAGCAGAAATTATATTCCATTTACATCCCAATATGCTGTATGTCGCTGACAAAAATAATGTGTAATGTTCCAGGCTTGACATATACCACGCCAATGCAAAAAATTGTACTTCAGAAAAACCAGTTATTAGCAGTTTTCACAATTATCACGTTACCATGCACACCTTAGGTATTGGCATATGTTACAATCTACATCTTCACTACCGCCACTGGACATAAAGATAGAGGTCCCGCAGTAGCATATCGATGAATTTGCATTTGCTCTCCTTCCATTTGCACTGCCACCACCGTCCAAGTCTGCGACAAGGTGAACCCTGCCTACAAACTACAGTATGACCCTTTTTGTGCTGGAAGAATTTGTTCAAAAATTACTACTACATCGGATGAGACTTTACTCACGTGGACTTGATAGTGATGCACCGTTCCTGCTCATCTTTTCGTGTATCTGTGAAGCGAGTTTCACCGGCCCTAGCACTGGCAATAATACCAGCCTTGGATACCAGGGAGTCGGTCAGTGTCGACTTTCCATGATCAACGTGAGCGATCACAGACATATTGCGTATGTTTCTCTTCTTGTCCATCATAACACGGATCTCATCTACAGTAAAGTTCACCTGGAAGTACGCCACAAGTAAACATATAACCTTATTTACTGCAACTTCATACCTACTGGTTAAGGTAACAATGTATGTAAAATGAACACATGGTTAATTATTTTTGAAAATGGATGCACCATTAACATGTGGTGACAACTTTTTTGAAAACAGTTTTTAATTTGTAGGTACAAATTACTTCACTAAGAAACAATTTTTGAAACGACCACCAACACTAACTTAGGCAATTGCTGCTGGGTAAAGTAAATTGTGAGATGTTATGAAACCAACCTATCAGCACACAAATTACTTCAACCGGATACAATTATTGAAAATGGAACGAACAATACACAAGGCCAAACGTAAATTTTCCAACTCCTACAATTGTGCTAATCATTTTCAAGGTGCATTTGATCAGATTAAAACATCTTGAGTTCAAGATCTAGCACGAATCGCGAAAAGTAATTTCTTTTTAATTAGCGAATTTGCTTCCTGACCATATAACGTTATATCCCATGCGGCACAGCATGGAAGCAGACTTTAGGAATGGGTGTGAAAATTGTTTTTATGAAGGCCCGCAAGTTCAAAATATTCGTAAGCAATAATAACGCTCTCTTCGTAAGCAGAAACAAAAACAAGGGTCCTTTAACACTGCACATAAGCGAAGCTCATTGACATTTCGAAGCTTGCAATCTGTTGTGCAACCTGTTCATTTAACCAATGGAACATAAAAATGAAGACACAATAATGAGAACCGACTTCCTACAATGGGGAATTAAAAACCACACTTCACATATAATAACATATAATTGTATTCTATCGCTTACCATTTTGGATGTTCGACGATTTCCTTAGCTATGTCACAAATCGATGCGCCAACAATGGCGGACTCCCTGCGAAAGAACGAATGCCACGAATTGAAGACAGTCAAAGAACATAAACTCTACGTCGTGGAGAGCGGAAGAGCACAGGTACCACAGATAATACAATCCTATAGATATTCTGTGTTCACTCCAAATAAGTTTTAGCTTTAAAGTGATCCCTTCATGAAGAGATTTTCTACATTACTCTATATCGAAACCAAAACATTATTATTAAAGTAAATGGTGATTATTTCCTACTGCATAAGCCAATTGGTCACTGTAATTAATACGTTTTCTTTGAGGTTAGGACTGACTGTTCCGTTTTCATTTCTCTATGCATCTCTGCTTCCCGTTGTGTATTTCCCTTCCACTCTCACCAATTACCGACTACACTCCTCCGGCTACAAAGGGTTAAGGATGTTTTTTGAGCGCTACTTTCACATTGTATCTTCTAAACAGGATTTCTTATAATTCTGACATCCTTACCAATGCCTACAAAGCCAACCGATTTGTACTCTTGATCGTTGTTCTGAATTTTCTCCCTGCCTGTGGGTAGTTTCTTTGTTCCTTTTTCTTTGAAATTTTTTTGTTCGCTTTTAATTTTAAAAAAGTCGACAGTGGAACCACGGTTCCAGAGAATCTGACGTCTTTGTATTTAAATTATCGTCATAGTATTACGCAACACAAACGCAGCAGTAGCCTGAAGTGCGTTGCGCCTTTATTTGTATAAATAAATGTTTGTAGAACCTAAACCATTTGTGATATGTAAAATCTGAAAACAGATATGGAAAGCTCAAGAGGTAATACGTATTTCGTCCGCAATATGTCCAGATCCATCTCTTACGGTTTTCGAGAGGCGGGCGCTTAACGTGATGAACAATAATAATAAATAGGAATCGCTTACCTCAAACTTTATTCAATTGTAAGAGATCACGATGTCCACCCGCAATGACCTTAATCAAAACTAAAATGGAGAGAGTGGAGGGCAGTATCACAGATTTCTTAATAATTCTTTTATAAGATAAGTACCTGTGATATTCTAAAACGATTTTACCAGCACAATATTATCTAGTCTACGACGCACTTCTTCAACAAGCGATTCACAGCTCAGCTCTTTCCGCAATAACGAAAGCGGATTGTTTATGGCAATAATGAAACACAACAATGCCGAGTAAACAGATGACGTAACAATTAGTTTCTTATGTAACATAACCATTGTTGTCGGTCCATATTTACACATTGTTGAAATGGATCTCACACATCTTCGTAACGCTGTTTTTGCCGAATGACCCTTCAATATAGACGTATTTACGTCAAAAAAAATGCAAAATGTGACTGGAGACTGTGGTCAAATTTTATATTACCTCTGATACAAAATTATATTCCTTCTATGTCCAATATGTACTTCAATAGTGATGCGCATGTGCAGGGAGTCATGGATAATAGTGTGCAAGGAACATAAGAGAACAGTTGAGTGATACAAATTAGTGGGGCGAGCTCTGGGTCTGGATGGTGAAACCTACTTTAACATTTGATAACTGCATTTTGTCCACAGAGTGTATTTATAGATTTCTGTAGTTCTCAGAATAAATGGTGATATTTTTTTTTCTTCTTAAACGTCTTTAACCAACTGATCACTGTCATTTGTGGTACTGTCAAATCCTTAAATACTATTTAGATTAGCTTTGGGCTTCAAGGCATTAAGAGATCGACAATAACATAATCCCAAAATGTTTAGTACACACACATTTATCCTGTAAAATGGATTTGTAATTAATTTTTTATTAAATTAAATCTTTTACAATTGGGATGCACCTTCGTGTCAGTCAGACAAACAAGGTACCTTCCGCACCAATCTTCAAGAGTCTTATACAAGCCTGGGAACAGTCTGTATGTTCCATTGAAAGGAACGGATGCAGCTGAAACGGTTAATCCAGGTTTCTTATCACAAATTTGTATTTCAAGGACTTCAGAGGTTTACAGATATAGCTTATCAGTAAAATTATTTCAGTCAGCTGATTAAATAACTAAATGACTAATTTGTTTTTTCCCCAAGAAGAGGTTTAAATTGAATTTAAATTTTTAACCACTTGAAGGGGAGGGCAAATGACCCGGGAGACGAGCAAGATTTAAACTATTGCATGAACATAAACCTGGTCAGGGTTTTCTAAAGTTTCAGTAATGACTTCTTGGCCTGATAAGGTTTTGGATCCTCAATTCTACGAAACTGAATAATCTGTTCTTAATCCCTTCCATGCCACATACGAGATAAACAATTCATTTGGCTTTTGCGAAGGAATGTGAGTGAACGACACCAGTCCTGCCATCTGTCAACAGTTAAACCTAACTAATCATTCAACATTGAGAAATTGGACCGTGGAAACATACCAGAAGATTTCTGTATTCAAAATTGGAATAACGAAAAGTTTAATTTCGTTGAAATAAACAAAAAGTGGGGTTAAAATTGTCACTACAGATAAGAATTACAACCATATTTCAACATTATTTATTCATCTTCAACAAGTCTGAACCATCAAAACAGAATGTATTTACGTATTTAATTCGAGGAATGAACTAAAAAAATTTTTTTTTTTAATCTTCATCTGACAAATCATCAGACATTTTTTCTCCTTTTCAAAATGCACTCTTTGTTTAATTTTTCGATGTCTAAGGCATTCTTGTGACTCATTTCGTTCCACACGCGACAGCAATGAACAAGGAGGCCTATGCTCAAGTTCTTAATCAGAATTTTCGCCGCGCCATTCGAGAGAAACGCCCGGAACTTCCGGAAGGAACATCCTCCGTATTCACCGGAACTAGCACCTTGGTGATTTTTTTCTTGTTTCCACGTCTCAAAAAAATTCTTAATGGGGGGGAGCATTTTGAGTTCGATGAAGGATTCCAAAAAGCCACAACGGGTTCCAGGAAGCTTACGAGGCATCTATAAGACGATCGAAAAAGTGCATTTTGAAAACGAAAAAGATGTCTCATGATTTGTCAGATGAAGATTAAAAAAAAAAATTTTTAGTTCATTCCGCGAATTCAATGTTCAACCCTTCGGACAGAAATAAAAATGGCTGATATTGTGGTCAGTTCAGCGAAACAAATGCTCGTGTCTACTTCTTCGGTCCCTTGCAGCCTCGTTCGTGCACCGCTACACGATCCGGGTTAAATGTCCTGCCACAGCCCTGACTGCAGGGAACAAGCGTCTTCAGGTGCTCCTGCCAGTTGACATCCATTGCCTCCTGGGAGGTGATGTTTCCTGTTGCTGTAACAAACATGTGTATATAGACGGCATTATCCACTGCACAGAAAACATAAAAAGAAGGAAAGAGAGAGATATATAAATAGTGAAAGAAGGGTGTAAGTACACTCACGTGTCTGAGGCTTGACGGGCTCCGCGCGGCGCTGGCGAGCCGGGAGCTGCTCATTCTCCTTCCGCCACCTTTCCAGGCACTGCGGCTCGTGGATCCCTACGGATCGAGTTCCGAACATCTTGCCGCAGATGTAACAAAAGACGGCGGGAGGGAACCTCGCACCTCCGCCGCCATCCCCAGGCTCGTCCTGCAAACGCGACGTTTCGAAACGTCTCAACCCTTTTCCACAAGTAACGTTTTATTGCCGTCACTTTAATGAAGACAATTATAAATAAGTATGAGATGATAATGTTGCGTCATATTGTGATGATTATAATTGTTTAATTTTAACCGTCTAATCACAATAAAATATTTTATTAAATATTAAAATATTATTAGAATTAACATTTAATATATTAAAATATATATTTTAATATATTAAATGTTAATTCTAATAATATTTTAATATTTAATAAAATATTTTATTAAATATTAAAATATTATTAGAATTAACATTTAATATATTAAAATATATATTTTAATATATTAAATGTTAATTCTAATAATATTTTAATATTTAATAAAATATTTTATTAAATATTAAAATATTATTAGAATTAACATTTAATATATTAAAATATATATTTTAATATATTAAATGTTAATTCTAATAATATTTTAATATTTAATAAAATATTTTATTAAATATTAAAATATTATTAGAATTAACATTTAATATATTAAAATATATATTTTAATATATTAAATGTTAATTCTAATAATATTTTAATATTTAATAAAATATTTTATTAAATATTAAAATATTATTAGAATTAACATTTAATATATTAAAATATATATTTTAATATATTAAATGTTAATTCTAATAATATTTTAATATTTAATAAAATATTTTATTAAATATTAAAATATTATTAGAATTAACATTTAATATATTAAAATATATATTTTAATATATTAAATGTTAATTCTAATAATATTTTAATATTTAATAAAATATTTTATTGTGATTAGACGGTTAAAATTAAACAATAAATAAGTATATATATAAAAAAACTCGACTTAACATTAACACCGAGTTCGATAAAATTCAAGATTTGTATTCACATCTTTTTTTCGAAGAGAAATTTCCTTAAAAATAAAGAAAACATTTAAGAATTATCAGTCGGCGTATAGGTTCGACTCGGGACGTTTAAAGCAGATATTCATCGGCCACAGAGAATTCCAAATCGGTGGTGTTCGCTCCATTGTTTTTCAGGATAAAATTGCTCATACTGTACACAAAAAGTAAAAATATTATTTTTGGACCAAAACTTGACAGTGGAACATTTTTCTATACAAGCACCACACCTTATGGGGCAAAGCTCCACTCGGTCTTGGACATGATATTGAGCTTCTGAACTGGCCGACCGTTTTAATAGTAAAAATACATTTTCAGAGCCGGTTCACACGACGTGACCTTGAAGGAATCGAACCCCCCACTGAGTCAGCAAATTTATCCTGTAAACTGTTCAATGCGCTCTCTACTTCTGTCTGCCCCTGATCTAGGCCATTCAGTTGATTCACGTGGCTAATGCATATTTGATGTGGCGAAACACTTCACTGGCTATTAGGGACATGCGCTCTAAGGGTCCTTTTTAAATCAAAGAGAGAGATGTTACGGGACTGGGCAGAAGATAACTGGCTCTGAGGGTTCCCAGCCAGTGTCCACTCGTCCTTCTGGTAAATGCAAACTATAAAAGTGAAAGTGTCGGGAGATGTGTGCAAACAGCACGTCTTATAAACCAGGTGGTACATATAGTTACCACTGGGTTTTAAATGGTTAATTAGAACACTGAATTAAAAATCTAAAGCAGTTTATTCTCCTGTAAAGTGATTTTTAGATACTTAAACGTCTCTTCTGTGGCACGGGAGAAATTATGTCGAATGGTAATTCATTTTTAAGACTCGCAAGAAAACGTAGCCGGTGCGTGCGAACTTGTGTCTCTTCTGTGGCACGGGAGAAATTATCTCGAATGGTAATTCATCTTTAAGACTCGCATGAAAACGTAGCCGGTGCGTGCGAACTTAAGGCACTCGAGCGGAGGCTTTTCTGTGACTTACACGAGATATATCGTTTATAGCACCTGAACTGTCGAAACACGTTCTTCACGAAGTGACACTTTTACCTGCTGATTGCTGCGTTTAGTGACTTTGCCCGGTGGAGGACGACAGCTTCGCTGATGAACTTCCAGTCTGTCCGGGTTGAAAGTACGACCACAGTTCTCGCAAGGTACGAGATGCGCCTGAAAACAAAACGGGAGAACACGGCACCATATCAACTGACAAGGCTAGTGACAAAACAGAGTACACGGAATACACAGGCGTGGAGTACGAATGCATCATCTCTTAAATGACTTGACGGATTTCAATTAAATTTCGTAACAGGTGTCGACACGCGAGAATCACGGGGACGAGGTTTCAATTAACGTGATATGTTCAGAAACTGAATGTGTCTTAAAAATGGCAGTCGTCTGCGATGTTGCGCCGTGTAGTCTTAGAAATTTAACGACGTCCTGATATTGGAGGTATTACCTCTGAAACGTCGGCCAATTTCTGTCATCTTCACACTCGTCACCGCGAAAACCTGAAATCTCATTTGTTTAAATAAATATGATCGTTGGTAAAAGCCACAGATAAAATAATGCACACAGAATTTAAATATTAAATCTGTTTGAAAACAGCGTAAAAATTACTTTCGGGCTCTGCCATAGGATCGTTACTTGGCAATGACTTACATCAAACGTGTCACAGTGTCACCAATCTGGTGTGATGACACGGACAACAGAGCTCGGTCTACGTACAGAAACACGCGAACCGCCGCGATCGATAGGCAACTCATCTGACACATATGTGTAGCGCGGCAGCCTAATAGAAGTTCTGCAGGCATTTCGATCGCACTAGACTTGAGACCTGGATTGTGTTGTACGGGAAATGAGCTTAAAATCTTGTCCACTGTCTCATCTCGTGTAGTTATCGAGAGATGAGGTTTCCAAGCCGGTGAAAATGTCGACTGTGGCCTTGTAAGTGGTTACCAAAATTTCGGCGGAACTTATCGCTTCCATCTTCAGGAGTTCAACCCCCCCCCCCTAGACCTGGTCGTCACTTACAAGGTTATACGGCATTACAATTCAGGAGACAACGTAGTTATTGTTCTACCACATCTTAATAAAAACCTTATTACCTACTTCATTTACGAATTTATCGCTCGTCACGAAGGAAAGCAGACAGAATTACCTGTGTTATTAAACGAGCCATTTCGTAAGAACTAAATATCTTATTTTTTTTAAAAAAAAGTGTTACTCAGTATTTTAACACTTAATTAGAAACCGCTATGCATATATGGACGTACCATTTCGAAAATCTGTGGTAAAATTCTCAGGTATGGCTGAGTAGTACCACGAGCATAAGAATAAACCTGACGACCTCGGATACGCGGTTACGCAGAGGGCGTTCATAATGACCGATGATTTCACAGGCAGACGTGGGATCCCTTGCCCACACACACACACGCGTTGACCTCAGTCAAGGACACCTCAGCGGGTGACACCGCACATTATATACAGTATCTGAGATATTTTCAAACACACACGCGACGTTTCGGGAGCTGGTCCCACTTCCGTCTTAAGGTGACCGGTTGTCACTCGTTTTCTTCTTGAAATTTATTGAAATTGTCGAAAAAGACAGGGTCATGGCAATGACCGAAAATAGTTCATATGTCCCAGCCAGGCTTCGAGCCTCGGACCCGTACCGCATTACGTTTCCTTGGACCCTTGTCGCTCAGCGTGTGCGTTAATGTCACGTGTAGGCCGTATCGAGGCCAAATAAGGAGACGTCATTCTGCTTTATGACGTCACACGTGACAGACAGGACTTGAAATCATGTTCCTAATATAGGCTACGAGCGAAACGAGGAGAGACCATCACCAAGTTGCATTGGCTAGGAATTTATCGCCTTCCTCTTACCCACGTTCAACAACACAAAACACGGGCATTGAAAGTCGTGGTTAGCACTCCAGCTTCAAAATTTCTACCCGGAGACCGGGGTCTCCTGACAGAACACGATTTGACATTTACGCGGCGGTGAGTCCGAAGACGGCCGTCTTCTGAGTTGTGGCGCCGTGTAGTCTGGTAGAAGTTTACCGGACGTTTCGGAGGTTACTGCTGCCTCCATCATCAGGGCTGTGATGGATTCAGAAAGGACATCTGAATCGTTTGTAAACTTCTACCAAAATACAACCATCTTTATCATGACAAAAGTTGTTTCCGTAGTTCTTCCTCAGTCCCTCCAGGTAACTACCACGATACTACCTTAAATTAGGGTAAACCGCTTTCTTCCACATCCTTTCTAATTCATTAAACATCCTAATATTCGACGCTTTAAAACCCCGCTTTTACCGGGAGATGGGCAGCGTAGTTATAATTCCATGGCCTTGCTAGACCGGGAGGGCAGAGCGGTCCGTCCACGTACCTGTGATGCCTCCCAAGCGAAGGCGTTCCACTGTTCGACTGTGAGGGGGTTGACGGGTTTCTGGGGGACAGCCCGCTGCAGGTGAGACGGAAGCTTCGAATTTTCTCTCTCCCACCTCTGGAACAAGAAGGCATTTATCATGACACAAACGACATATATCGGCAACATCTCGTACGTGGGGCGATGTCCATCTCTCGACGTCAAATCAAGAACCTTCGTATTAAGCAGACACAAAACAATGAAGTGACACCTTGCAATTTATGTTGCGATGCGGTTGAGATTATGTCTCTGTGGAACGGCCCCTTTGTCCATCCCCCAGATGATACATGAGTGAACATGGAGAAGGGGTGAAATGATAGTGACGGAGGAAAACCGAAGGACTAGGAGACAAACCTGTCCCAGCGCCACTTCGTCGGCCACAAATCGCACGTGGACTGCCCCGGGTGCGAACCCAGACCTCAGAGGTAAGAAGCCGAACGGCTAACCGCCTGAGCTACAGCACCGCCGTTACTCAGGCTGCAAAAGAGACCCGTGGAAAACGAGACCGGTTACAGACGACGGTCTTCGACGTTTCGGAGGAACACAATGCCTTCGTCCACAGCCTAAAAATAAGCTAGAAATGGTTTCTGAGTCTTCTATTGAGTACGAGCACAAGGGTTAAAATTCTGCCTCATTTCAGCAACGCTTATACAGACGGCTGGATTATAAACAGATTTTTATAGTTATATGTTCGTACAATAAAAGAATCGACCTATAACCTTCTTTTATTCTGTCTACAAGCTGCATGTCTCAGAGATAATAAATACTCGCTGTTCGCCGCCCACAGTGATCAATTCTGCTCTGCTCTCAGCGCCAGGCACAATTATTTCCATTTCGTAACACCTAACCATCCCTGCGTGGGGGATCGGACAGGTAAGATCGAAGCTTAAAGAAAACCTATCGCCCGATAGCCTGAAACGAGTTGATACTGCGAACTGTCGACCAGAAACCCACAACAATCTCCATTTCAACTCCGTAATATTTCAAATCGATGTCAGTGTGTTGGCAGTAAGCTTGAAGCTGACTTCACGGAGCACAGTTCTTCTTCATAAGCTAGCAGTCGCTCAGCTGGCCAGATAATTTCGACAAATTTCATGAAAGTTCAGAGGAAGAACTTGTTAATGATCCAGATAAGACTTGAATTGTCTCAAAACCGTATGAAATGTGTTCCTTCTTTTTCGACGTAAATACGTCTATAAGGAAGGGTCATTCGGCAAAAATGTGTTACGAAAAAGTGTAACTTCATTGTTATGTTACCTAGGAAACGTCATCTGTTTACTCGGAATTGTTGTTACCTAGGAAACATTTCATTACATTACATTCAGCTACCACAGACCCATCTTAAGCGTAACTAATTCAAGTTAAATAAGCAATGTCTTAATCAAACTTATCTCAATTGTAAAGCATGTATAAAGGAAATATTTAGAATAAAGCCAATATATAACCTTCCTTTCCGTATAGACGTATTTACGTCAAATTCTCCGGAACCGTGGTTCCACTATCACTTTTTTTTTGGGGGGGGGTCTGTAAGGCGTATGATATCAAATTTTGATAGGAAACCTTAAGTTAAAAATAAACTTAGAAGCTCTTCACATGGACGGGAGGATAATATTAAAATGTATATTGAAAATAGGGCGTGAAAGTGTGAACTCGATTCACCTGGCTCAGAATAAATATCAGTGGCTAACTGCTCTAACCATGGTAACGAACCTTCTGTTTCTAATAAATTCGGCGACATTTTGACTCAGCTGAGCAACCATTAGCTTCTCAATAAGGATTAAAACCAATGACATTACTTAGTGCATTTAATTACATAGGATATTTTTTTTATCATCTCGTCTTTTATCTCTCTCTCTCTCTCTCTCTCTCTCTCTCTCTCTCTCTCTCTCTCTCTCTTATTCTTTAATTAGTTTTCATTTTGTGTATTTTCATTCAGTGTCTCTCTCGGCCTATATAACTTCTTATTATTATATTATAATACGCCAGTTTGTCGGGTCAACAAAACCTCGCCCCGACACAAAACGTTAATTCAATTTACTAGCAAATAATTCCTCGGCTCTATTGGCCGTGTCACAGAGTCGCCTGGAACGGAAATTAATTTTCTTTTGTTGGCAGTAAAAATACATAACATTTCTCGCAAAAGAAATGTCATAGGCAGTCAGCACCTTCTTTGTACCTGAAATATTCTGACCCCATTTAGAAGAGGCGTATCGAATACAAAAAACTCACATCGACGAATAACAGAAAAGGCATCGTATTTTACAATCCCAGTTCATTTTTTAACTTACAGTGACAGATAACACAGTTTGAGGATCAAACGAGTTGGAATCTAATTTCGTGCATGACGAGAGCATCAGCTCTCTCTTTGATGTCAGAATTCAAAGGTCCCAACCGCAGAGACGAAGTGTCTTTAGATAGTTTCTGCGATCGTACTGCACACCCAATGCAGAACCCCCCACTACTCTAGTCATACTTCCCCCTATGCGCAACGTGGTCACAAGAAATAAATCGCACAGTACACGATGATTATGCTACTGATTAAAAAAAGTCCGAAATTTGATCTTGAAAGTACTTCCACAGCCCCTGACCTAACATTACACTTCACAGCTTTTACCCATCGAACCACCGTACATTATGGTGAAACAGATATCGCCTCAGGAACATCGACTCTGTCGTCAGTCAGACCGAACCTCATTGCATTATTAATCTGACAGTGCCGTGGAAATTTCTACGGTTTAAGAAACCGACGACCCCTTACAGTATCGACCACCACCGTGTCTCAGAAATACGTCAGAAATCGGTACTTCGATTCCATTTAATCTTTCCCGTGATACTCACGAGATATACGGAAATATATTAAAATAAAAATAAAAATCCAGCCTAAAAGGGGTTAAAAATTACAGATCAATAATTTAACCCTTTAAAGCCCAGTGGTAACTATACGTACCACCCATTTCAATAATCAATAACCCTTCTGTTTGTATTTATGTGTTTCGTATGATTCTCACCGTAAACAGCGATTATTTCCTTAAACAGCGTTAACCAGTCGATCTTCGTAATGGTGAAGCGTTGTGTTTTCTTCGCGGTACGGACTGAATTCTTAAATATTATTTAGACGAGTTTCGACGTCCAAGGGTTCTGTTGACTAGTATTTCGTGTATACAGCGCACTAAATCTAAATTATACTTCTATTAATTCCCCCGTTTACTTAATTGCACAATAATCAATCAACTTTCTTGGTAGTAGAGTCCAAAGGTCCAAAACCCTTAACACAAAATCCCGTCACTTGGCACGACAATGAACCCATTCCCTTACGATCGACCTTAACTTTATCGATTCGTTCGTATATCGATCTGCTCTAAAAAAGGTCGAAATGCGATAATCGAGACGTAGTGAAATGTAGAGCGCCCGTGTGTCATTGTTTCTGGCCGCTGAATCCAGGTACGCGGTGTCACCGGTCGATACTTAAACTCCACAGCAAATGCACGCTAGTGGCTGACCGGATAACCGACTTCCAGAACACGTCGCTGATTTTATACGAGGCCGTGTTCGGTTCATCCTTCTGACATCCATTTCGCATTTTTCTTATCGTCTCTTTGGAAACCGTATATTTGGATGTTCCAAACGGTCTGGCCTGTCTGTCGGTACAGCGGTAGGCCACCTGCCTCCTTATTAGAATCTCTTGTGGTCTGTTTATGTCTTAACCCAGTAAATAAACATGAACAAGGACCTATACATCCTCATATGCTACACTCAATTCCAATACCTTTCGATTCTTTCAGACCTTTCCAGTGACGTATTCTAAATTGAAAATTAAAATTAAAATAAAAACGTATTTTTATACCAGTCACGTCCGATCCATCCCATCTCTCACTGGTTATTCTGGTATCATTTCACGAAGACCTGGTTACTACTGCAACATGCTTGACTCTTATGTTAGCTTTGACCCAATTATGGATAGAAACCGGAAATACGGTAAACAGGGGAAGCAAGTTTTGGAGTCACGTGTTTCCGGTCTGTACAGGAAATGCCATTGTCATAATGCAGCGCACATCCATCGCCTCGCGGTGTGTCAAAAGGAACACTAACCAAAACTAGCACAGTCCAAGGTTGCCTGAAAGGAAGTAGCAACTTCTGTTGGTGTTTTCCTGACTGAGGATTTCCGTGGTTGTCCTCGGTCTTTCCGACGGGCAAACTACCTCAAAACATCCCTTATAGAACATTGCCTACATACAGTTCTTGGACATATTTTCATCTCAAGTTACAAACTTGAAGCCAGAAGTTCATTGGAATAGTTACAAATTCAGTCCGTACCGCAAAGAAAACACAATGTGTCTCTACGACAAAGATCAGCTGGTTAATGCCGTTAGGGAAACAAAAAGCTATTTTGTTGTTAAGAAACTCGGTGGGAAAAATACAGAATTACTAAACGCTTGAAGCAGGTGGTTCGTATAGTTACCACTGTGCATTAATGGGTTCGGTGTACCCTAGTGGCTCTGTTACGCGCTTGTGCAGGAGATACGAACCACGGATCACTCACCTGCAAGCAGTGAGGCTCGTGCAGAGGAAACGAAGCTGTTCCGAATTCCCGCCCGCACAGATAACACAGGACTGTGCGGGGTCCCGGCCTCACGGGGGGTCTGTCGTCCGGAACGAGGTGCCCCCCGCCTCTTCCGGTGTTCATCGGCGACTTTCGGCCCGCAGGCTGCATCTCCGCCGTCTTGGCGTCTGGCCTCGCGCCGAGTGAGACCGTGATCGGCGCTGGTTTCCCGGCCGCAGTTTTTGTCAAGTCACTCCTCCTTCGTATCGATTTCCCACTTCGGTAATTCATAGGCACTGGCTTACTCACAGAGCTCTTGCTGACAACTGACTTCGTCGCGTCGTCGCGATGATTGTTGTTGTTGTTGTTATACGACGCGTCGTCCTGGTGATGACTGTTGTTATTGTTGTCATCGTGCTGGCGCCTCGCTGCCGATCTCAGTCTGTGGCTGGTGGGTGGCGGGTGACTGTGAAATCGTTCCGGTTGCTCCGGGCGACCACACGTCCTGCAAGGTTCCGGAACTTCGTCGCTAGGTTTAGGACCTCCGAAGGCTTCGAGGACATTCTCCCCGTTCTTCCTCACGACGACGGGCCGCTTACACGTCCGACGACTTTGTTTCTCAATCTTATCTTCGCTCACGTTACTGCTGTTCCTGCTACCAACATGAGGAACGCGTTTTTCTCGAGGCACATTTTTCACAACCGATCCTCTGGAAGGACTGTTGGTAGTACTGCTGACAATACTCACAGGAGAAACGCGCTTATCTGTTGGTGCCGGATTGCCGTTGGAGCAACTGGCTGGAGAAAGGAGTTTTTCTTTTTGTGCTGGGTTAATGAAAGTTCGTCTCGGACTGTTGGCATCACTGCTGACACTATCAATCGGGGACACGCCTTTGTCTCGGCGACCTTGCTTAACACGCGTCCCTCTAGAAGGGCTCCTGCTGACTGTAGTAGCATTCGACACTTTCCTGATCACGTGAGAGGAGGAGGATTCAGATACGCTAGTTGCTTCGTCATCGCAACTCTCGTCTGTCTTGCGATGGTTTACTTTGTATTTATTCTTCAGTTGTTTTGTTCTGTCTTTATCATCCACTGATATTCTTGGTGTATTCCATTTTCGAGTTTTACCCCCGTGACGACTTTCTCTGTTGTAAGTTGAATTTCTCTTAGCGTCCCTCGATGTTTGGATGTTGTCCAGAGGCGCTATGCACAGGTTGGATATCGAAAGGAGACCCTTTCTTGTAAGGGACATATCAATTTTACCTAACAAAGTCACGTCTAGGATCCGTGGCCTTTCCAGCGTAGCCGTCTGAGGACGGATAATTCTCGCAACGTCAATATCACCCGAACCTGAATCTGACATTTTCATTTTTGGCCAAGTGGCAGAACTTGCGTCAACGGTTTTCGGAACAAGATGAATTCCTAGCGACATTTGGATCTCGTTCAGGGATTCTGAAGAAAGTCGATAGTCTGTATCGTTATTTGGCTGTGAACTGTGGACAAAAATGCGAAGGACTGAGTGAGGAGACTTAGAATTCTTGTTCCACTTCATCCGAGATAAATATCTAACTCCTATTGTTGAAGTTGATTCACAAACAACGTACACTTCAAATACAAAAAAAAAACTTTTGTCATAAAACCCAATTAACACACAACAATATACAAATTTAGACTTGCACTATGAAAAGATAAACATTAATTGTACTTTATCACTTCAATTGTCGATAACACTGTACAGTTATTCTTTAATTTCTGCCGTTACAAAATATCGACATTCATTTCTTCATGACCAAACACAGACCCTTCCCCGACGGCGAACTCTAGCGGTCTGCCGGCCATACAGCTGACAACTGACTGCCGCTTAGCGTGCTTCTCATTACCTGGGCAACGTGCGTGACGTAATTTATACGTCACCATTATGAAAGTTTTTTCTTGTTCCCTCGTTATACCACAATGCCTTTGCAACACAAAAGTTACATAGTTCTGTACAAACACAATATCCAGACTGAAGGTCAAGGTAAATCGATGCATATATCTTTTATTGGATCATTTCTTTGTATGACATGAACTTTCCATTTGATTTTATTCTATGAAAGCTACATCCAATTACCTCCCGCGGTGTATAATGTATTTATAAAACTACAAACACACTCATCCCCCCCCCGTTACCAACAATGTTGTTAGTTTATTCCGCGTATTAAATCGATTTTTATTACGGATGATTTGGGTTTATTGTCGGTAGCTAGATCATGATCTATTTCAGTGTGTCCTGTATATGCCCTTTGCTCTGAAACCCTATTCCAGCGCGAATTACCTTCATTATAGGCATGTTTTCTAGATCTTTATTAAATTAAGTGGTTTATAAGCTTTACTTATCCAGTCAAGTTTGTCCTACATCACTCTATTCAGAAATGAAGTGTTAATATATCACCTCCATCATTGTTTAAGTTTTACAAAGATATTTCTCCGAGATAACCGAAAATTCAGTCATGCTTCATAATAACTTATATAGTTCCAATTTAAGAAACGTCGCTGTCCAGAGACTGGCTGTGTTTTCCTCAGTCCCTCCGGGAAAATGTCAGGTGCTACACGGCGCAACAGAGCAAAAATACTCTTTATATGGCTGTGGGAATCTGAAATCTTGTTTTTGAGTTATCATATTTTATCTCCAGGCAGTTTCTTGCACAGACTGGCACCAAAATACACGACTCGATTTTCCTATTGTTGAATATTCCACCGTCCTCCCAGGTTGAATAATACATCCCCAGTGACACTACGAGCCTGTAATAGGTCTCATTGAAGGCGAGTGAATATGTAATTAGCCAACCTTGACTGCATCGGATGTAGGCGCCCTCATAAAAGTTAATAGAGGCTTGCATTACGTGATTAGATTCATTATCAAGTGGAGAAGTTATTTAGTATCAAACGTTAAGGGACGATTATTATACGTGACGAGCTTTTAAGACTGTGATATTGATTAATCTAAGATTGATGACGAATGTTTCATTTGCGAAGATTAGTTTATATTGCGTCAAATGGGAATGGAAGATATTCATGAACGATGTGTAAATAAGGATTTTGAATGAGATGGTTGCAAACCTACTACAAGACTAACCCAGCATGCCCGTAACAGACTGAGGAAAACCACAAAAATACCCTTACGGGTAATCTGTAGCTTGACGAGATTCAAACCGAGTACCCCTCACTGCCAGTCTAGAACACTACGATACACTGGTCTACTTGGAAAAGGTAAGCAGTCGTTGTCTATCAGTCTCCTACTCCACTTACAACCCGACCCCTGCTAAATACGAAACTATAGTAGACTGACCTGTACATCAAGACGGTAGCAGCATCGGCCATGATTTCTGAAATCGCTGAGTCGCGTACAAACATATAATATTCCTTGTTGTTGTTTTCACATATTCCGAGCAAAAAGGAGAGACATAACATTGTTTCTAATGCCAATAATGGCGGGCGAAAATAATCAGAGCACTTGAACAGATTTTGTACCTTTCAAAAATTATTAAGCATTTTATTATACTATCCACTTTCATCACTATCTTAATTCGAAAGTCAGTTAACTGAACAACGTCAACTGTTTCAGTGGCTGTAGCCACAGAATACAAATAATAAGAACACAGTTAATAAAGAAACTTGAACAGACATCATACGATGAAGAAATTCACATTCAGTCCAGTAGATGGCAGCATAAGGCTGACAAGATACTTTTGATCACTGTGCTTGCCTCTCAACGATCGAATTCTTTTAACAAAATGAATAATACATGCATGTAATGAATTGTACTGCACATTTACGTAAGTTTAAAAATTATTTTCATATTAACTAATGAAGTAAATTTAGTTATTTAAGAAAAGAACTTTACCATGAGCATTGGGATATTTCTAATAGAAGTATTGGTAATGCATGGGACTTGCTTCCTGTTTACGATTGGTTGAATTTAAAGTTTAAAAAAGCAGTGGCAAACTCGGATTAACACGAAGATTCTGGAGGTTAACGTTTTAAGTGTGTTCTATTGTGCTCTGATTGATTTTATTATACAAAATTTGTCAAACGTAATGTCGCAAAAAGATATTTATTACTCTTACAAGTACTTTGATGACGAATACGAATATAGGTAAGAGGTTTCTACTTCTTTTTTTTCTTACAGCTGTGTTACCGACTGACTGTTACTTGTTTTAAGCCTAAACCCTAACCTAATATTTGTTAGATTATAAAGTGTATTCTTTTCGAAAAATTAAAAATAGCTGATGTATTTATAATTACTAAACATTATTATGTAGTCATGCTATTTAATTTGCTTCTAGACATGTTGTGTTACCTAAAGAGTTACTAAAACTGGTCCCGAAAACTCATTTAATGTCGGAAACCGAGTGGCGTGGTATCGGAGTTCAGCAGAGTCAAGGTTGGATTCATTATATGATCCATAAACCAGGTGAGAAGATTCAATATAGCTTACATTCACATAACAACATTTTTGTGCTTTTCAGACGCTTGATCTTATGCCCCCCTTATTTACTGCAAATTGTATGACAAGCACATCAGGTGTGGTTGGATCAAAACATTTTTGCCCTGTTTATTTAAGATAATTTTCCAGTATCTGAGTGGAGGCCTGTCATTGGACATGATCCTGAGATAGTTCTGCCTTACAACATATTTAAAATATCCATCATAATGCTATCCTTTCCCTTCAAACTGACTGCTTTGAAAGAGGAATATGATTGTATTGTAAAGATTATATACGGCATTGGGCCACAAAGTTAAGTTTGCACATCTCCTATTAAAAACCTTTACAGTGAGAGATTTTTTCAGACTTTTAAATAAAACACTGATTTCTTTTCTAGAACCACATATCTTGCTGTTCAGAAGGAAGATCACAAATCCACCACCAAAAGATGCCTACTGATACATATATTTTAAACTTAATTGTAAATATGTTCATAGGAAACTAAAGGTGTGGGATAGGTTCATTTTAAAAAGTTACAGACAATTTGTCTAATATTTATATTCTGTAAAACTCTTCAGGGATAGTTCTGTATTACCTAGGAAAGTACTTGTCTGGTTCACTGCACATGGACAAGGTATAAAGCAGGGAACTTTTTAAAATATTTGTGTAATGACAAGTTGATGTTCCTTTAGTTTTAATTCTCATGATAGTTCTGTGATGTTTTATAAAATGTGAAAGTTACACGTAGGGGTGGAAATTCTATCTTCCGTTCAACAGTGCAGACACATTCCAAACATTTCACCACTTTTCCTTGTCTTTGGGTCATTCATTTATCCTCCTTTACCTTATTATTTTCACAGTATCCTCCTCCCATGTCTTCATCTCCATTTGCATCATCTTCTTTGCTTTTTTGTCTCTCTTTCTCCAGCATCTTTACATTTTCCATCCTGTACCTTAAACTTTCAGTATGTTCTCATCATCATTATCTTCCTTTCTGGATATATTCTTAACTGTACCAGCTGTAAATTATCTGTTTTCCTTTTAGTCTATCTAAAATGGTTCCTGTTGCTTGTGTCTGTTAAGTCCAGATATCAGAAAAGAACCGTGTAATTCCTCGACATTGTATTTCAGTCTTTTTGAATCCCATCAATGGTCCACACTGAGGCAGGATTTTTTAGCCCAAGACGATGAATAGTTTATGACAGCTCAGTTGATAAATTTTGATGATAAGTTCCTTATACAAGCGTTAAACCCAAAAACCAGGTTTCGTAACATGAGTATTCTCTCCAATGTCACGTAACTTCAATGAACTGTTATAACGTTGACTGACATATCTTTGGCGCTGGATCTTAACTTTCTGTCAAAATAATTTTCCACTCCTACAAAACCCGATTCATGTTGGGTGTTCATGGTAAATATTTTCACTGAACTTTAAGATAATAAACATTTTCATTTGCTCAACTTGTAAAAACACTGTTTAGCATAAATATAAAAGCGAGAGTTAATTTTTGCATAAAAACACTTTCCCTTGTACTAGATATTCAACATCTCTTAGCACACAATTTTACAAACTTAATTTTTTTTTATAGAATTAGTATTGCAGATCAATTTATTTTAGAGACAATTTTGATTTTAGTAGTTGCATTAATGAATTTAATTAACAGTGTGAATACAGAAATTTTCATGCTAATCAATCTGTCAGCTTGTCCAAATTTCAGCCAAAGAGAACGTTAATATTGTCTTCAGCCGGGAAGATGATAAAGTTGATATATTTTGCCTCAGTCTATGGTTAAAAGTATTGCAAATTCCTACCTACAAATGAGGCTGGAATTAACGTACATTACGTAATTCCCCAGAAAGACTATTTTTATGAATTCAAACGTGATTAACGAGATACGGACAGAGAGGTCAGTGACGAGCATTTGATAAGTGAGTGCTTTGTTCAGAGATGTAACTAGAGAAGCAGAGAAAATTCCTACAAAGAATAAATTGATCTGTGATTAAACAAAATGTAAGATAACTGTTTGAGAGATGTTTACAAGGCGTTCATGCGATGGGACATATTTTTTCAAGAACATCTTGTGCATTTTATATGTTACTTTCAACCAGTGTTCTTTGCTTCTGTTTCGCATTGATGTTATGTATCCACTTCTTGTCCTATCAGTATCACGGCTTGATGTATTCTTTTACAATGAAATAAGATTAGTGTACAATAAAGTCTGTTTTACGTAACTAATATCTTGCATGTACCACACCTCGGATAATGTTAGATCTGGCACGTAAAATTAAGATAAGGAGTCAGCAAATAGTTGTGCCAGTCTGTCAGTACATTACGTGAGGAACAAATAGGTAAGTCGTAGCTATTGAAAGGGGTTATAACTTGACGATCTAGAACATAAAGATTTACATTATAAAATACTGAGACTGTTGTAAAGGATTTATAGAACTAAAACTTACAGGTAATTTGATGTCACATTCTAAACGCAAACAAAACATTACAAAACTAAAGATAAACAATATGATTCAATGAAAAGGTCTGTCTAATCAGTGATTTTTAGTTAAGAAGAGACAGTTACCATAACGAGTTTGTAATTATTGCAGTCCTCAATTCCTGTACATATTTGTTACAGAAATTCTTTGCTATTTACGAGTAACAGCCTCGCTGTTCACCACTACTATGCTTGGGGGTGTGGGGGCCTGCTCAAGTCGATAAATACTTCTGACCGCAGTCGTGGTGGCAGCTCCCAGTAGATTGCCTCTGGCACGTGGTCTGTAAAAAAAAAACATTAAAGAAATTTTAAGTCTCTGATGATGGTTACGAAACAACTCGTGAAAAGATTTGTCCGCAGGTCCGTTTCCAAAACGAACTGGAATTGTCTCATATGGCAAAATAGTAGTACCCGATTATGGAAATCAGTTGTTCAGTACTTTCAAATGTTTCTAACTAATTATCAGTATGTTAATTTCTACGCATTTCTCATATCTCCCATGTGTACTTATGTCCTGACAATCATCCTTGAGTTAATTATGCTGTCGGTATTAGGCGAAGAATACAGATTACAAAACTCCTCACCATTACACCTGTATACCAGGTCCGACCAGATAATCATCTCTTGAGAGAAACAGAATACCCCAAGTCGTCCTCCTCTCAGAGTCGAGTCATAAATATTTCCCGAGTCGGCCACCATGCTCTCGCCCTCAAATATCCTGAGTCGGATCAGTCCAATCTTCGGTCGATGGAGCAGAAGCCACCGGTACGCCACCTTCTCTTTCCAGCCTACATTTCTTGGGTCCTTCCATAACAGTTTCACCTGGTCCAACATACAAATGTACAATGCAGCACGTTTTATGCTTATAAATGAAAATTTATAATTATGATTGTATATCTGTTGGCAGCACCTGAAAGATTAAGCAAATATTACGAAACAAATTTTTTTTCACTACCCTAAAACTTTTTGGAAATTAGGAGAAAAATTTGAAGATGGCTGTCATCTAGGTTGTCGTACCAAGAGGTCTGGCAAAAGTTTACTTACGTTTCAGAGGTGCTTGCTGCCTAAAAGAAATCTACGTGAGCCTCTGCTTTTTACCACGGCAACAAATCTTCCCCATACTTACGGATGCTTAACCCTTTGAAGCTGAAATTCGTCTATATGATTTTTAATAATTCAGCTGGTACCGCAAAGAAAACACAGTACTTTATCATTACAAAGATCAACTGGTTAATGCTATTTAAGGAAATAATCATACATACAAAATTAAGAGTTAGTGACTGTCGAAGGTTACCGCTAAGCTTTCAATCTTAATCAGTAGTCTTTGAGGCATTAGGTACAATAAAGCCTCTGTACTGTTGCTTACCTGGTTCTCAGTGTCACCTGTATGCCACAGTGAGTTACGAAGCATCTGTCCAGGACCAGTGTTTGAATGAACGAGTTTCAACTGAATGCCTGGTTCTGCCACGGCTCGGAATGGGGTCGCCTGCCAGTATGTCTGTGTGTTCTTCTTCCACATGACAGTGTAAAACTTGTGATTGTCCTGATAACTAAGACAAAACAAAGTATCCGTAACTCACCATGTCACATCACAACAACTTTTCGCTTTGTGGCAATCAATATGGTGGTGTATGCAGTGCCTCACCTGAATATAAA